TTATGTAGGCACTTCGGAAAAAAGGTGAAATGGACGTAGTAACTCCTAAAAAGGTAATGAATTAGTTCAAAATATTTAAATTAAATGTTGAACGCGAAAATTGCAAGAGTTAAATCCAATAACGATTTTAAAAACGTAGTATTAAAGGGAGACGCACGCGCTCTGTCACCACGTATGCTAGGCACATATTTGGGCACTTCGAAAAAAGAAGAAAATGGCAATTATCGCTAATAAAAGACAGAGAAATAAAAATATTACCCACACTGATTAGCCTGGGTAAATATCCAATAGATGCACTTGAGTCTAGTACTGGAATTTAGAAATAATAAATTGTTACCGGTAGGCACTTTTTTAGGCACTTATTTAGGCACATCGAAAAAAAGGTGAAATGGGCGTAATAACTTTTAAAATGATAATGAATTAGTTGAAAATTGTCAAATTAAATATTGAACACGCAAATTGCAATATGTGAACCGAATAACAATATTTAAAACGTAGTATTAAAGGAGTCACACGCGCTCGGTCACCACATATGCTAGGCACATATTTAGGCACTTCGAAAAAAGAAGAAAATCGGAATTATTACCAATAGAAGACAGAGAAATAAAAATATTACCCACACTGATTAGCCTGGGCAAATATCCAATAGATGCACTTGAGTCTAGTACTGGAATTTAGAAATGATAAATTGTTACCGGTAGGCACTTTTTTAGGCACTTCGAAAACATGGTGAAATGGACGTAGTAACTCCTATAAAGATAATGAATTAGTTCAAAATATTTAAATTAAATGTTGAACGCGAAAATTGCAACAGTTAAACCCAATAATAATTTTTAAAACTTAGTACTAAAGGGAGACGCACGCGCTCGGTCACCACATATGCTAGGCACATATTTAGGCACATCGAAAAAAAAAATGGGAATAATCACCAATAAAATAAAGAAAATAAAAATATTAGTCAAAATGATTAGCCTGGGACTGGGTGAATATCCAATAGATGCACTTGAGTCTAGTAGTGGTATTTGAGAATAATAAATTGTTACCGGTAGACACCTTTTACCGTGTTTCCCCGAAATTAAGACAGTGTCTTATTTCAAATTTCTTCCTAAAATTACCACTAGGGCTTTTTTTCGGGGGATGTCTTATATTTTAATTTATCAAAAACAAAATTACAAAGTAAAGAATTAAGATATGTTCAAATATGCAAAATATAAAAACCGATATCATTGGGTTTACTTGTTGCAATTTGCATATTAATTTTTTAATTTAAATATTTTAAACTAATTCATTATCTATTTAAAAGTTATTACGCCCATTTTACGCATTTTTAGAAGTGTCTAGATAAGTGACTAAAAAGTGCCTACCGGTAACAATTTATTATTCTCAAATATCACTACTAGACTCAAGTGCATTCATCGGATATTCAAATAGGCTAATTATTTTGACTAATATTTTTATTTTCTGTATTTTTATTCATGATAATTACCATTTTCTTTATATTTCGAAGTGTCTAAATATGTGCCTAGCATATGTGGTGACAGAGCGCGTGCGTCTCCCTTTAATACTATGTTTTAAAAATCGTTATTGGGTTTACCTGTTGCAATTTCCGCGTTCAACATTCAATTTAAATATTTTGAACTAATTCATTATCTTTATAGGAGTTGCTACGTTCATTTCACCTTTTTTTCGAAGTCCCCACCGGTAACAATTTATTATTCCTAAATTCCAGTACGAGACTCAAGTGCATCTATTGGATAGTTGTCCAGGCTAATCAGTGTGGATAATATGTTTATTTCTCTGTCTTTTATTAGTGATAATTGCCATTTTGTTTATTTTTCGAGGTGCCTAAATATGTGCCTAGCATACGTGGTGAGAGAGCGCGTGCGTCTCCCTTTAGTACTACGTTTTAAAAATCATTACAGTATTGGGATTTAACTGTTGCAATTTTTGCGTTCAACATTTAATTTAAATATTTTGAACTAATTCATTATCTTTCTAGGAGTTACTACGTCCATTTCACCTTTTTTTCGATGTGCCTAAATAAGTGCCTACTGGTAACAATTTATTATTTCTAAATTCCAGTACTAACCTCAAGTGCATCTCTTAGATATTTACTCAGGCTAATCAGTGTGGGTAATATGTTTAATTCTCTGTCTTTTATTAGTGAATATGCCATTTTATTTATTTTTCGAAGTGCCTAGCATATGTGGTGACCAAGCGCGTACGACTGCCTTTAATACTGCGTTTTAAATATTGCTATTGAGTTTGCCCGTTGCAATTTGCGTTTTCAACATTTAATTTGACCATTTTTAACTAATTAATTATGTTTTTAAAAGGTATTACGCCCTTTTTACTTTTTTTCCAAAGTGCCTACTTTTAGTCCGTCCCGGTGTGTAATCCTAATACCCATACGTATACATAAGACACCGGTCTATTTCAATTGTTACGAAATAAACGTACTTAAACTGTGATAATGATGTAACGATAGACGGAATCTAAAACTCAAAAGTACCACATGAAGTGTTAAACTATTTTACTCAAGTTCGTCGGGCCATTTTAAATCGTTACGCGGGCCGTAATTGGCCCGCGGTTTGGAACCCCTCATCTACACTGATAAATATTCCGGAGTCGTTATATTTGAATACAAATATAATTGAGTCAGGAATTACAGTGTGAACTGTGGAATCGGACCTCAAAATTAGGGGGGGTGTTTGAAATTTTAGGCGGGGTGTTCACCCCCTATAGGGGGGGGGGGGGGGGGGGGGGTAGGGAAATCACTGCGTATGCCACATATAGACAATCTATTGCCCTACCAAGTACTAACCCACAGACAATTCGTCTATAAGAAGGTGCTGAAGTTGAGGTAGCACTATCATACTACCTGAAACTACATGAAATTGTCTTATTCTTCTCCTAATCGTACCGATATCGGTAATCAACAAATCTCCAAGTGGTGCATCACTTATAGACTAATTACTAATGCATACGTATCACAAGAGCTTTCATTCCGTCGAGACTAAATGAAGTACAATGTACATAGCGGCAAACACTTTAATATTAAAAAAAATTTAGTGGGCCGGATGCCAGTTTTAGTTAATCATGTTTATTCTCATTTAATCCATACAGAAACAGTTCGATAAATATCAAACGAATGCATCACTAGCCAGAATACTGCATTGAAGTGCATATTAGTGTGCTACGTGATATGCTTGAATACGAGATAGTCATCTGACAAATCTGATTTATAAACTGCTTTCAATGCTTTCGACGGAAACTAACATAAACTCAAGATTTAATTGATTGGATGAGGCTAATGCCCGGTGCAAGAATGGTAAAGAGTACCGTAACTTTTCGACATACGCACTTGTCACACCAATAAAACGATATTGCTCACCCCAGGCTCACCCAAGCGACAAAGTAATGATTCTTCGCCCGATCTAGGTTGAATTTTTTTTATTCAATAGCAAAATATCGTTATATCGCCCATTCAATAACTGAAGCTGATAAAAACGACTTGGTAGTAGTAGGACAGGTACGTGATATCACTGAATATGGCAACACTGAACACCAACTTCATAAACATAAAACGAACGCCATTATTATTAACAATATGGCCTATTACGTCACAATCATATTAGAAAACTGTAAGTGAACGCCAATGAAACGAGCGCTGAAGAATAACTTAAATTTAGGCGGGATCTACTAGTGTCGACCCTCTCATCCTGCACTGGTTTTACTCTTGATTACTTTCTCGCTTTTTAAATTTTGCGTCGGCGTCATTGTCTGTCAGGAATTAGCTCGCGATGTTTTGTATGAAAATTATATGATGTACGATAAAGTGCATAGCAAGGAAATCGCAATTTTGTGTAAAGTTTAGTCAGCTAGTTTTCAGGTTTTAGATAACGTTAATTTTAGGAAAAGCTAGATTGGATTGTCGTGAAATTTGGAAATATTTGCCTGCTTTCGTACAATTTACCATGAAAAACCGAGCCGGACTAACTGTATGACCATATTCCTGGGAAACTATAATATATGCTAGTATGCAAACCACCTATGAATATGATTGTTTGCAGAGCATTTCATTTAAATCAGTAGTTTTAGTATATATTATGAGGAGTTGTTGGTGAGTACCTGTTGACTACCGTAGTCTACATTACCTAGAACTTGGCAGGCTAGGTCAGGTCGCCTCAGGCCACTGCAACCTACTAGCCTACATAGGCCTACTAACCTGTGCGGTGGCAGTTGGTCATCGTAATTTTAGGTACAAATTAATAATTTTGATCATTATAAATTATAACGTTAATCAAGTATAAGTCTGCGTGTTTATTTTATATATTTCTTCAAAACTCTTAAGTTAAAATTACTTCAATGGTGATTTTGTAATTAATTGAAAGATGTTAAAATGCGAAGACGAAAGCGGTTTCTTAAAGTTAAAAATCTTGTTTTGTGGTTGTTTTTAATTGTATCCAGGCTAGGTCCCGCGCGACTCGTTTTGGATTGGGACCCGCAATAATTAAGTTGGGGTCTGACTTATTTATAAAGCATTGCGGCAGGAAAAGAGTAGTATCATCCTTGCGGATAAGCTCTTGTGCTGCTATGTCTCTCGGGTTAGGGCAGCTCTCGACCACAAAATTGTTGCTATGTTAGGTTAATTTCGAAAAATTCGCCAGAATTTCGTAAGATAGTGATAACTTATTGTTTATTCCGCATGTAAAGTATTGTATCGTACTCAAATGTTGAGTAAAATAATAAAAAGACTATCATCAGGTCACGTGAACGAAATCTGTAACGTTATTTCGGAATTAGTTTCCACCTCATCCATCTATTGAGAGCTTTATTGAATTTCGTCATATTAAAACTAGCTTATACCAGATAGCTAACGCTCACGCAATTTCCCATAAATATGTGTAAATCGTGTTTTCTATTTAATTTAAAGTAAATGAAAGCATTTCGATGTGGATTTGAAGGCATGTGTACAATTCAATTTATATTCAAATATGAAACCATGTTTACGTTGACCTGTCTTGAACCAATGCAAACCCGGTACTACTTACTAGTTTATACTAGCACTGGGGCCCAGATTTTTTTCAATACGTCCCAGAATCGATAATTTAAGTTTGAATAACAACAGAGAATAGCGTTTATGGCCAGAAAATTATGCTTCCCTGTTCAACGTTGCGTTGCCATGCAATTCATACGTGCGACGTGATTGACGCGGCAGCTGTTTATTGTTGGTGTTAGGTAGCTTGCGCCTACCGTTGATACATGTCTTCGATTGCAGCCATGACTTAGGCCGGTGTTCGCTAAAAAAATTGTACTTCACGAATCTGAGTGGAAGATTAGAAAATTTACTTTATTTCTGAAGGTTTACAGCTTGTAGGACAAGTGCAGTTTTGTATGGAGAAGTTTTTTTGAAATGTGTTCAAGCCCGATATAGCTATATGATTGAGCAGGGATAAACGGTGACGTCCCGTCTGTTTTGATCATACAACTGCTTTGGAGCCAAGGGAATATCGCTTTGTCGTTTGAGTATAATTTTATTTCTATAATGATATCGACAAATTGTGTCTGGCTGTTACGCGATTTTTTAAATAATTTTAGAATGGGAATAAGTTTATCAATAGGCTTGTGTTTAGTTGGTACAAGTTTTTGATATCACCACCTAAACAAGTTTACTTGTTCGAGTTTCAACAAGTTCTATTTGTCTATACTTCAGATTCACTATTATTTATAATTTAGCCATACAAAGATCTCTTTGGCACCATAATGGTAGAAAAATGTCCACAATACAGTGCTTTGCCGTCTCCCGGGCTTCAATATAATACCTGTTACAAGCACGTCCCGCTCTCTTTGAGCACAACCCCACCCGCGGCACACCCTTCATCTTTAGGTGGTACTCCCACCGGGATTGGTCTGATGACTGCTCCCAATGCTCCAAGGTTCGGCACAGTAATACCAAGTCGCATCTTTGTTGGAGGAATTGACTTTAAGGTGGGAAAAAGTTATAATACTAGTTAAACTGCCTTTTACGTATGGGCTGACTGATATTTCGTTCGGAATTAGTTTTGATGAAACGAGAGCGGAACATAATAAGTACTCATTGCCCACGGTCATTGTATGTTCGTGTCATCGTAATATTAGAGCTGTATACTGACTATTAATTAAACAAATTTGGAATGTTATGTTTCAAACGTTGTTCCATTTATTGATGCATTCAGCGTTGTACTGAATATTTCAAGGGTTTCCAGTTCTGTATGTCTACTCGTGTTCCTCTAGATCAGGGTGGTCCAGACGCAGGTCACATGTGGCCCGCCGCTCCATTATCTGTGGCCCGCATCACATTCGGAGAGAATCAAATAATCGCATTTCGTAATAAAATTAATCAGAAAAATATTTTTACATATTGTTACATCTCTAATGGCACTGAATTGACTAGTGTTATGGCTAGCTGTGAGGCAACTAGCGAAGTTGAATGATGTGGTTAGTCTAAATTAGTATCTGACTTTCTGTTTTTTTGGTCGGGAATATATGCTAACAATATAGGCATCATAGAAAACTAAGAATCAAATGCGGATTCTATTAGCAAATGCAGGCTATGTCTTATAACTATATGTTTGCACAATGAAAAGTGTTTGTTTTGTATTGCACTGTTTACTTATTTTTGGCTGTATTGTGGCCCGTGAACAATGCAAAAATAATTTTGTGGCCCGCGGAGCCGACAATGTTGGACCACCCTGCTCTAGATATATTATTCTATTAAATTGTTGCGGTTACATTTGGTATAGAGAGATTTGTACTCGTATTGTATATATATATTTTTTTTGTTTTTGTTCTATCTCAGACAAGCGAAGATGATCTTCAAACGTTTTTTAGTACATTTGGAGCAGTTCGTGACACCAAGATCATACGAGATAGGGCCGAGGTTTCCAAAGGGTAAATGTCAATTTGATATTGAGCTTGTTTCATGATTATTCGAACAATGTCTTTAATTTAATGCGTTACAATTTGTTTATTTGAGAATGAGTATGAATTCAAACTTCCGTTTGAGATATCAGGTGATTCTGTATGATCTGGGAGCATTTGAATACATTTTATGCAGTTGTTTTATTGACGCCGACTTTTTCTCACGAAACTCGGAGATGTTGATCTTTTGGCTTATATCTGAAGATATCGTACTTTAATAGGGTGTTTCATAATACATATTTTTACTCAAAGTTACAAATCTAAATTTGATTTTTGAAACTGCCAGAATATGTCATAACTTCTACTTCTAAATTTCAAATTAATTACTCTTCAGTGCAATTCATCACAGCACATAAAATGTACTTTGTCAGTTGTCATAGCAATTCTATCCAATTAAAGAGTCCAGCTGCACACTAACACAAATGTATTTCTGTAACGTTTCGTCTGACTCTGGTCATTTGTGTTAGTGTGCAGCTGGACTCTTTAATTGAATAGAATAGTCATGTTTATTCCAGCTACAGTATCCTTGCAGTATACGCATACGGATCCACTAGCATAAAGGCATAGAGAAAAGATAGGAAGTTAGTCTCGCGCAACCCAACTCAAATTTATGTCATAGCAATGCTTGGAATTTGATAGTTTGTCAAGTTCTTTATTTAGCGTTTGACGTTTTGGTTCTGATAGTCGAGACTATTTTTACAGGTATGGATTTGTAACATTCAGCTCGACTGAAGAAGTCAACAAAGTCATGGACCAGGTGAGAGAATTCATCTGCTGGCTATTTCTGTCTATAGACTTTGCATAGTTATTTTGTGACTTGATTTTCTCTTGGCCTATACGTCCGTCGCTTATTTTCCTTCGGATAACGTTTGCATTCTAAGTTATTGATCAAAGCTTGATGTACTGTAAAAACATAATCTTGTTTGTAATAGTAAGCATGACTTTCAAATGCAAATTTTGCACAATCCTATTTTCACAGGAGGACTGTCTCTACTTAAACGGGAAAAAGTTGAATATTGGACCTGCCATAAGAAAACAACAAATTTATCTACCGAAAGGTTTTGTATACATTCATACATTAATATTACTTTAAAATGACGTTATTTTGACATCTTTTATGATTCATAGACATCCACGTTCCTGGCCCAGTGTGCAGTTGGGTGGTTCATCCTGGCGGATATGCGTCCTATACGAACGCGAATGGAATCACATACTTTTTACCAACACCGCAACTGTTGTCTACACAGGTACGCTAATTCTGTGCAGTAATATATTTGCTTTGGATTTTTCCATTTCAGCTTATAACCATTCGAGCAAGTCTGAGCTTAAGGCGAACCCCTCAACCAACCAAATCTCTGGAAATATGGGAGAAAAATATATCTTCTTCTTGCATCTTTGAAAATTTATCCAACCTATGTTCGCTCGTATGTGTTTTTTGCGATGTGCTTTGAATATGCAAAATCCTATCACATCTACACTTTATTGACACACTAAATTCGTTGAACAGGTTATGCCAAGTCAGCAACCATATGTGATGGCTTACAACGGTGCTGCGGCACCTTCCATCAACGGATTGGGGCAACCAATGACGCAGTATGCCGGTTTTAGTCAAGGTACAACAGGAACCCTTCAGCCGATCCACAGCAATATGACTTTGCCATGGAGTCCTACTCAGGTCCATTTTTTTCGTGTTATCATTATTCTAACGACATTTCATAGACTACAGATATTTGTACACATTTATGGAAGAAAAGTATTATTTAAGGTGAACATTTCACTTGGTTCGCAGTGGATCTTGTGTTGTTGCTCTCAAAATCAGACTGGCTGTCAAATGGTAGCCCAATATGCCATTTACGTAGCAGTACTTTCGAATGTTGGTTGTTTGTGAGTTTATCGGTGCAAAGTAGTTTGACATAGCATTACTGCAGTACGTGATGTAGAAACAACTGCCTCTTTATTACGTTTTTTTAATGTGTTTGTTAATAGAATGTCCGATAACTGATACGATTTCTTTTTATTCAAGACTGGCTCCTGTGGACAAATTCTAACTTCCGTCCCGACGTTGGAACACAACCAGCCGATAAGTATGATTCAATTGGCATCAACGAATTCGGCACCTGGAAACGTAGCACCTTCCACCAGGACGCCAGCTAATGCTAATCAAGTAAGATATTTCGCATTTATTTAATAGGTAAAATATGGAAAATTTAAATACTTCTAAATATTAAATAATCTTAGTGAAAATTTTCGATATTATTTGAATCTGTTCATTGTAAAAACTTTCAATTTTTGGATTTCAGGTGCTACCTGTACCTAGGAACCGTGTCATGTTCTTTGTGTTTTATTTATCCTTGATTGTTTGCGTGCTATGTAAAAATCTTCAACTCTTCTATTTAAAACAGACAACCCCCGTCGTTGCTGCAGCCGTGCCACAGACGCACATTCAAATTCCAACAAGTTACGTCTGCTCTCCTGTGCCTACCGGTCAACAATCAGCTGTGCCGATGAGATTCGCCCCTCATCCAGGAACTCAGGTGCTGCATGGGGTTACTGAGCAAGGACAACCCGTGATGCATTCCGTTAACTATGGACAACAGGTATTTAGAATTCTATTTTGCAACGTAAAAATTAGAATTGCGACAAATAAAATAATAAATCTGTCGATTTTTATTTTTCTTGACTAAAATTCGCTAGAGAACCCTTACTTGAATTTTTGTCCGATTTTTTTGTGCCTTCACTTAACATGATACTCGGTTCAATTCGGTTGCGTTACACATAATGTAACACGTTTAATTGGATGTTAAATGTTCAATACATCCATTATTTACCTATAATTCCGGCGGAAATAGTACAATACATAAACCTGAGCGTTTAGATTTCAGTAATATATCATATATACAAGCTAATAAAAAGCATTATGGAATCCTCAGCCAAATTTGTTCAGAACAAGGAATAAATGCGCAATAGTGGTACTGGTAGCGCCACCAAAAATACGGCGATTTTGTTCTGTTACGATCGGTAGCAATACTAGATTCAAACCCGTGTTCTCTAAGATGTGACTTACAGCCAGCCCAGTCCTCTCATTTTGTACAATATATATTATGCGTATTTTCGGGGGAATTAGTATTACTCTGGCGTCTACCTGGCTAACTCCGCCCGTGACAATGAGTGTTATGTTCAGGCTTGTCCATGAGACATATTTTCATGTCCCATTCCCATTTCATAGCAATTATGCCTGTCCCATCCTATCCCATGGGATTCCTATAGGAATACAAGGTTTAGCGTCTACTAAATAGGACTACATGAAAGAAGGGACGTGCAAAACAACAAAATTTACGGACTTTGTTAAGTTTATATTCATAACTATTATACTTGTGTGATGTGTCCATCAGCCCCCTCGCCGCGAAGTATTGGTAATGCTGAATATATTATGCTCTTTATAACTAACAAGAGAGATATGCTCAAATATATGGACGCGAAGTCCATAACGAAATGTTTCACCATCCCCAAAAATCATACGGTTTTGGTGTCCCACGCGTCCCATGGGAAATACAAATGTGTGCCATCCCATGGTACGTCCATGGACAGCCTGGTTATGTTACGTGTTATATCACAAACCTTCATAATAATTTATGTATTTTCAGATGTTTAATACACCAACCCTTGGATCCAAGCCAAATTCCCATGTTGCGCCTGGAGTTGGTGATATGGCGACTATTACTATGGCCGACGGTAATGTGGTACCGGCTTATAGTGTACAGCAAGCTGTATATCCTACCATGGGCCTAGTCGGACCAGGTGAACTAGGAGCCCCTGTGCATTACACTCAGTTGTCGGCGCACCAGGCGAGTGACGTTCTGACTCCTCCACCTACTCCGGAGACACAGTCTCAGAACAAGTGAATAGGTGTTGGTGAAGTTTCAACAACAACAAATTTTGCTCAGAAAGTTCTGCTTTTAGACTTCCAAAGACAGAAAACTGCCAAAGTGATCATCTTGAATGTATTTTATGAAATGCTTACACGCGGTGATGCTTTCAAAACTATTTGTACATAAAACGCTAGGCTGCGCCTTGTACATAAACATGCCAAGTTCTTAGGCCAAAAAACTTTATTCTCGACTATTGTGATTTAGAAAATGTATTTTATTCTATACTGTGAAGGATAAACTATAAAGGGAATACGACTTCTTGGCGATGCTATAGTCAGTTCGCATGAAATGTTCGCTTTAGTGACTCCAAAGTCCTCTTATTGAGAATTTTGCACTAATATGAGAGGTATATCCAACTTTCCAGAGATAGTGAAAAAACAGCGAAATATTAAAGAAGTTTATGAAAAATCAATTTTGTCAATGACACCAGTCTTGTGAATGGGTAACAAAATATTATCAGGTTGCCATATGCAAGCGTCCTTAAAGATAGCCATTAGGATTCCTTATTGATGCTATCGTGTCTCAGTGGTGTTTTCATATTTTGCTATAATTTGCTTGCTTATTTTAAGATTCTATCAAAAATAAAATTGAAGAAATATTAAATTTTTAACACACTGAACAATTGAATATAATCATTATTATTTAATGTTTGATCGAGAGCGTATTTTTGTTAGTTTAGTTTGTTAGTCCATCGATCGATTGTATAATTTTGTCTGATAAATAAATAATGGTTCCGAATTGATTCATTGTAAACGTAATTTTACTAATTGTAAAAAAATGTTCTGTAAAAAAATTATTGAATAAAATATCGTGAAAATTGTGTGTTTGGTCAGTATGTACATTGTAGATCAGTTTTTCTCCATCGAATACAATACTAAAACGACCCTACAAAAGCTAGCGAGATATTAGGAAGATGATCTTTGAAGATTCATTCTGTTATATCGTTCCTGTGATCAGCTCAGGGGTTTCTTCGACTCCACCGCATTTCAATTATTGGGCATATTCAGGCCTGACAGCATTTTTTCATCAAAAAGGATTGTGCTCCCACAGACGAATATTCCTACCAAAAGGTTGAATATCATTAGGATAGGGTTTTCATATTTATCTCGGGGGAGTGGGGCTATGGGTAGCGAGCCGAGATTACATAGTCTACCGCATGGGTCGGCAACCTTTTGTCGCTCGCGGGCCAAAAATAAAGGTTGCAAGTCATGGGCGGGCCGCACATATTTTTAGAAAGTTGAAAACCGAACGTATGATACTTTTTATAATAAAAATCGAGCAGTGATACATCTCTCGAACAGAATATAGATTTATTTCCTCATTGCATTATATTTAAAAAATTTCATTTGAATATTTTCGGCGCCATTGAACCGTTTGCACTGAGCATCAGCTTTTTTGCGTTTTGTTGCCAATTGTCTAATTATAATTGAATTATATATAGGCTCACTAAACGAGTAATTGCGTATTTTATACTTGTTAGATTATATTATAATTCAGCACGTGTCTCACAATAAATTCTGTTAAGTATAGAAATCAATCGTCAAAACAGCTGTTTTGTTACTATAATTTAGTGAAGCGTCGCGGGCCGGATTATATTACTCTGCGGGCCGGATCCGGCCCGCGGGCCTTAGGTTGCCGACTCCTGGTCTACCATACGGCGTGCTACGACTTTCCGTCCGTTTACCAGGCCATGTCGCGTATGGGTTATATGTTTCAGATGCGTCTATTCCCCCTTACATATTTAACGTATGTTTTTTTTTTTTGGGGGGGGGGGGGCGGTTTAGCGGCATCGTCTTCCTCACGCTGATCACTGTTCTCGCACTCATATTTAGGTTCATTTGTGTTCGTCACACGAAACACCTTTCTTTAGGAAATCAAATTCGTGTATAATAGAGACAAAATGCAACATGAACTCGGCGGTTGGCACATTGTGTCACGTAACGCTGGCCTATTACGGCTTCCTCCGCCATGTCAAGTTCAGGCGACTGCAACAAATACATGGAAAACTATTCCCATACACGGCATGAACGTCCCACCCCCAGGCTAAATAAGAAACCCCTATTTCAGTGGTTCCCAACCGGGGGCCCTCGGTCACCTAAGGGGCCACCGAGCAGCTGGAGGGGGGCCACAATGCTAGAAACAAAACTAATTTTACTTTCCACTTCACAAGAAAACTTACCATTCTTCCTAGTTTATTGCTTGATAAGGTTATTACCTCTGGAATGTACACATGGGGCCATGAAAGAAGGTTGGGAACCCTTGTCCTATTATACCTTGGTAAAAACTATATAAATTAGCGTCCATCTCTCCCATAATTATCAATTACAGAAGTTTATAACAAGTGCCTTCAGTAAGAGGGGTCATCATAAAACTGCCAGATATGGTCATTTGCACCATACATAACGTAGTACATCTGATCATGCTATGGCAAAAGAACATGGGTCTTCTCGTTTTCAGCTGTGTATTGATTTAAAGAGCAAATTTCCCAATCAGATACGCGAGCCACTGTGGCACCAATAGGTTCTCGTACTTATCCTCACCGGCCACAATGCTGACAATAATGAAGCAAAAAATTCCAAACAATGAAAGTTTATGATCTGTTGTACAACGCTTATGCAAGGGTAAAATATATGTCTAAGACACTGCACATAATAACAGGCATGCAACAACAACAAAGCAATATGACCCGTGACAGCGATATGCTATTTTTGCATATGATCTTTCATGAAAAAAAGAAGTTGAACAAAATCTTCATTCTTGTTTAATAGTAATATCTTTCTCTTTTTTAATACTGCGCAATTTGGGTTTGAAAAAAAAATCCAATTTTACCTGATTTTTGTTGTTCTTCTTTGCAATCTCAGGCTTCTGACATTTTTTGCTATTGTTCGGTTCACAAATTTTGAGAATTTTATGCATAGCAGAGGACATAGCCCAACTTGCCAAATCAGATTTTAAAACCCATTTCCAATTCTCCGCGCCTTGCTTTGAAATGTCTGAGTGAGTCTTGTTCTCATCTGGAGATACAATAATATGTTCCATAATATACCTCAGATGTATATGTGAAAATACATGCGTTAGTTCACCAACATGTGATCTAGACTTGATCACAAGTCCTGACAAATATTTTTCTAACATACCATCTGTGTTTTCAGATATATAATTTGTTGTGTGTTTTGTTGGGTGTGTCCCTTTCTCAGAAAAGTGTTTCTTGAAACTTTTATGTGCTACTTGTTCAGCATTTAAAGTTAGGGTAGGGAATTCCCACAGTTTGGCTAAAAGTCCAGTGTCCGGCCTTTGAGTAACCAACATTTTGGATTCATTATCAACATGTTTTAATTCAACCACGCTTAATAAGGCAATGTCTTGTCTTGGCGGCTTCTTATCTGCTTTTCTAGGGTAATTCATGACCCCAAGCGCTGGAAGCCATGGCTTATCATCTGGAAATTTTAAAAAAGATATCGTACAAGATTCTATATCATCAACATTTATACTTTTCAACTCTTCAATCTCAACTTTTACTCGTTTTGGTATTTTTGAGTTGTCACCATCTGCTGATGCTTTCCTTTTGTTTTTATTGTTGTTTTTACCTAACAGTAAGTTTGATGCAGAAATTGTATTTGTCTTTTTATAATTTTCAACTTCCTTATAACCTTTACAAACACTTCGTAGAGGACATCGCGAGCATACAGGATTTTTTGGCATGCAGACCAAAGCTCCCAATTCCATCATTGCCTGTCAAATTAATAAATAAAATTTCGCATGTGGCATGTAGTTAAATTAAAGAACATTTAGATACAGTTTCTGATTCAGCTGACAGAAACTATCGGTATTTTCAACTTTCAAGTCTCCATTCATTCTTGCCTGCATAGAGAGTGGACGTCTCTAACGAAGCTTTCACTTGCAGAAGAGATTCTTAATAGTAAAGCTGCCCATTTGACTATTTTATTTCAATATGGCTTGAACAGAATAGGAGTTTGATTATTTAGTAATTAATAGAAAATTCTGGTGAAGAAGTTTCTTTACATATAATTTTAAAGGTGCATCAGAATGTGCTCACTGGGCTAAATATTTCTTATACAAAGAACAAATATGTACATCTCAAACAAATTTTGTTTGCATTGCACAACCATGCTTGTGTATCAGCTAACTAGCTATAATGAATTAACTATTAGATAAACATAAGCTAGAAATTGATTTTTCAAAACAATTTTACAATATTTGCACAGATGAAAAACTTCTACAGAAAATAAAGACATTTCTCACCATTTCCAAAGAGCCAAGTCAGAATAAAAGTTTTATTAATTTTTCTTTTCAAATTTATAGCAAGTGGAAGTTTAATTCATATGAACATGATTCGAAGTTCTGTAAGTTACAACCTAAGTGCTTGATTAAAATATATTGGGCATATATATGTCTATAAACAAAAAAAGTGCAGACAAAATAAGCAAGTTTGTTAACTGGAGAAGTTTCAATAATATGATGTTAACTAAAAGAGCAATTTTTGATAAAGGTCCACTGGTCCTGTGATTGGTCATTCATATCATAATATCTATCATATTATTTATATTTAATATAATACCCATATTACATCTACCTGGTTAAAATCTCCAGGCTGATCAGATGGAATGATTTTGTCGACTTGATCCCATAAATGATGAGTAACATTTTTTGAAGACACATCACCTCCAATAGTAAGAAGACGACTTATAACACGTATCACATTTCCATCCAGAACTCCAACTGATTCGTTGAAAGCTATTGAAGCGATCGCAGCAGCTGTATATCTGATGTATTTTGATGAAATTGATTTTTATTATTTCAAGGTAGTTTTTACATTTAACTCCTAACGAAGACTCTAGACATGCAGACACGGATACATTAGGAACTTTCATTTTAGGAAGGATTAGAATCTTACAATTCGGCATTGCTTACATAATTATTACAACCTGGATAAGGTGTTCCCTAAACACACACACAGTTGGGATACAACGATTCCCCTTTCCAGGATCAATATCACCAGCAAGAAATATGCAGTATTATTACAGAAGTGTGCAAAACAGTACTCATAATCATTGGTCTAGGTCAGGGGTTCACAAGTTTCTTTCAGGGCGACCCCAAGGACAACTTTCAAGATTCCAGTGTGACCCCAGGTCAATATATATATTTTTCATGATACTTTAGAGCTTCTTTCACTGGACTTTTGAGTTTGGCCATGTGGTGGTATTAGGTAAGTTAAATAAGCTAAAACCAAACAGTGATGTTACAATGAGCATTTCCTATAGCATAAGCATAGAGCGATGCTTATGGGCCTGTTTTACAGTAAGTCATGGTACAAACTGCTAAATTTACCATGGTTTGTCAAACCTTAGATGATATGTACATCCATCCTCTACCATACCTCAGTGACCCCACCGACCCCATGACCTGTTTGCGACCCTACCTACTTATCACTCCGACCCAATTGAACAGTCTTTTGTCCTTTTGAGTTATTAGACATGTTTTCAAAAATGATATGAAAAACATCTATTCGATTCAAATTGAGTTAGAATTGAATTAGCACACTGTCAGTGCAAATATAAACATTCGTGTTTCCAAACAAATATCCCAACAATTTATGTTTATCGATTGAAAAGCACTCATTCATGAACCAGTTTGTTTACTCACCTACCAACTCCCGGAATAAGCTTCATCAAATCAGTCGCGTTCTCAGGTATTTGCCCATTAAAATCTTTTACAACTTTACAGGCTCCTTCATGCAATCTCCTTGCTCTTGAATAATAACCCAGACCAGCCCACACTTGATTTACTTCCTCCATATTTGCTTTGGCCAAATCGTGAACAGTCGGCCATTTTAACATCCACCTTTCAATACAAAGAACAAACTTTGTGTTATGTATGGAAATAAATAAAGGATTTGTGAACTTGCAGTACATGTTCATTAAAAATTTAATCCAATGGGCCAGAAAGTCCTATTTTGAAATTATCATTCCCTTCACCTATGCATAAAAAGCCTGTTTCCCTTTGTTTATTTGTTTCAATTTCAAGGTATCATACTATCATCAGCTACTGCACTGTTTGAATGGTCTATAATTGGCCAATATATATATTACAATAAGAATGAATATTATGAGTGATATCACACAAAAACACAGAGTAAAATTTCCTCTCCAGTTAGGACATCCCGTATTAGTACATACATCATTTAATATCTACATTATAACAAATGGAATTCATGACTACCATCTATTCTACCCTAATTGGAATTGAAACCGACTTTACAAGAGTGAAGTATGTACTCATAAAAATCTGATTTAGTTTAAATGTTTCGAAGATTTCTTTATAATCTGACATATTGTTGCATTCATTAAGTTGATTTTTATTTTGGCTTTATTTAGAAAGCGATTCTCTCAAATTGCAATCTAAGTTGCTCACTTCTTATAGTAATCAATCACTGTGGCCACTCTGGTTTGTTGGAGCATGATCTCAGAAACCCAAACAGCATAAGCATGTTGTTGTTTATTATCAGTCAATGCTGCTCTTCTCCAGGGCAGGTCGCGTTTGTTTTGTCTATACCAATCCAAAAGCTCATTTTGTATCAATGAAATATTTTCTTCATCAAATGTGTGAGGATTATTGCTTTTCATATTACCGGTACTAACTAATGTAGACTTGAAAGATTACATAATTCAATTAATAACGTGCAGCAATTTTCGTTTACAGTCATCACAGATAGTACTGAATGTATAATCAAAATATCTTCATGCTTGTACAGCGCCTTGCTCTGAGCAGACGGCATATATATAGGTGGTTGCATATACGAAACTGCTCGAGTGAAAGGCATGGATAAGCGTCATATAAATCATAAAATACTATGTCAAATGAAGTTAATGAGAAGATTTCAAAACACTTTTACGCAGGTGTTGCATATTACGAAAAAATAGTTGACAAAGTAGCAGCTAAACAGTTATTATTTACTCGTATTGTTTAAATAAAAATGCAAAAAAAATGTTTCGGGTTGAAGTCCCTAAACTCAAAGTTACCAAGCCACAGCTAATGAAAGGCTCGAGTCAAGTCAATTACTGAGCTGAGTCTTGTCTGCGGTAATTTAATACGAGTCCAAGTCACTTTATCCGGATACCCAGAGACACAAGTTTTTGATAAATGGTGAATAGAGTCAAGATTGACTCTAGTCTCTAACATTCCCAAAACTGCAAAGAAATAAGATGAGGAATTATTATCATTTATTACATAATATGAACACCTTTATCAATAAACAATAAAATATATGACGGTCAAAGTGGATTAATATTGAGAAAATTTTAACAATTCAATTGCATGAGAATACAAATGCAGTGATAATAAAGAGTATATGCATAATTTTACAGTGAGTTAAACATAATTATGTGGTCACGACAGTGTTGATAGAAGCACACATACATGCAATAATGTACCAGTAAAAAATTGGGTACCGTACATGGATTGCACAATAAAAAATAATCAGAAGAATGATATTGAATTTACCAATAAAATAAAATCCAATGATAGATAAATTGAAGAATAGACTTGGCTGTGAGCAGTTTTTAAAAGTAATTTCTTGAGTTGCCTCGAACCAAGCTACTTAGTATAATTAAATTACATACTGAAACTCAATATCAACATCTTTCATAGCAATTTTAAGATGATCATCCATTATTTCAGATTGGGAAACAGTGAAATGATTCTTCCAATCACCAACATCGCCTTTACGATAAAACATTTTTTCTTCACCTTCATTAGATTTCCTCATATAGGTGATTGAACAGCGTTTAACGATTTCAGCAATTTCTGTTTCATTTCTTTCAACTTCTAAAAAATCACAGATTGACTTGACAACAACATGGAAATCCTTTTTCATGTCTTCATATGAGAGGAATTTCACACAATTTTCATTCTTGTGTTTCAGCCAACTTTTGATATGATAGGGGTACCATTCACCTTCAGGAACATGCGTCCACATTTCCCCATTTATCAACTGTTTGTAGAATTTATCGAAATTGTCTGTTCGAAGATGAGCAAGCTCCGGAGGTGATGGATATGACGACTTGAAATGAAAATATGATGTTACCATATCTTTTGGGTTTCGATATAAATAAATGACTTTTGCATCATTTTTGACAATTTTCTCGAAATTAACCAACTCTTCCGGTAAGTGGGTGGTAAATATACGAGGACGAGTAAAGTGATCCATAACTTCAAACTTGGCTTTTGGCCCATGATCTAAATAAATGGGTTTAGAAAGAAATCCTCCACTCTTTGGACTGAGGAAATCCAACCAATTCGAATCTCTGATAAAATAAATCTGCTTTATAACTTCATACATCCAGTGTGTTCCACATTTAGGATAAGTCACAATAAAGACATCACCTTTACGTGGTTCCCAATTTCTGTATGCATATTTTGCTGCATCCATAGAAAAAGCCGCAATTCCACGAATATTCTTCCATGTTTGTGGTTTGAGTTTCCAATTATTCATAAACTGATTGACTTCATCAATTTTTATTTTGATATCATCAGGAAGGGAATCCATCCTGAAGTTTTATCATGACACAGGACTGGACGCCAAAAAAGTTTTTGTGATGAATTATTATTACTGTATTATATTACTACATTAAATCAAATTCCCACTGCAGAATTGTAATCATGAATTAAAGATATAAATCCACATTTTAGCTCAATTGTTAGAAATAATTTTAAGTTGTCTCGTTACTGCGTTATGTAACTAATGCAATAAAATGTTGTATAAATGTGAAAAACAGAAAGTTAAACAAAGTTCCCCCCAAAATTGAAATTTGTCACAAAATTTGAACATGATTGGCCTTGGGGTCTCAAAAACATTTAGAACATTGATTAATAAATATATCTCATTCCAATCAAATAAAAAAATGACTTCTAACAAAATACTTTTAATACAGCATGAGCATGATAACGTTAATTTCACAGAATTTCTAAAAATCGTTAAATTCACTTAAAATTTTAACAAGATCTGCCTTAGGCGCTCAAAAAATATTTTGGGTATTGATTGATACTCTCGACCTCTTTTCAATCGAAAGAAAAAAAAAAGGAAAAAAACAACATGATCAGTATTCTAACAAAATGCAGTACTTGAATAAAACGTAATAATGTATATTTCACAAAATTTGTTAAACTGACCCAAATTCGAACAAGATCCTCCTTTCAAAAAATATATTGGGTATGAATGGATGGTTTCAACGTCTTCCCAATCAAATAAATAAATTGGAAAAACTCAACCAGTCTTCTAACAAAATACTTTTTTACAATGTAATAATGTGAATTTAACAAAATTCAGAAGAATCATTAAATTGACCCAATATTTGAACAAGATGAAAAAACTCAATCATTTTTCTAGCAAAATACTTTTAACTGCAGAATCCTTGTTTTGTCTTACCTGAAAGTAAATCGGATAATCATAATTTAAACTAAATTTGGTATTAAATTTATAAGCTCATACATTTGCACACTAGCCTACTGTCAGTTGCTATAGAGGCGAGTATCGGGGGATGGGTCTGTTTATAACTTAGAATGCAATTCTCTCACTAACAACATAATCCTATTGATTCTAGAATTCATGCTGATAAGAAAACAATATTTTTAAGTGAAGTGAATCAAGCTTGAGAAAATTATGGAAGAGATTTCAGAAATAAAAATTTCAAAAAGGCGAAATCTCGATTGACATCTGTGCTTTCAGATATACATAAAGCTAAGGGAAATTCCATTCGTATGTAAAAGTAATATTGATATATATATGCCAATTTTCATCACTTCCAGGTGATTTAGCTAATTTGTTGCTGGAAGCAAAATTTAATTGACAAGAATTGCAGTCTAAATCCTGATTATGGGATGGTTTGTTCGACATATGCCAGCGGTTTTCATCTTTCTTGCATATCCGTTATAGCCTAGTCCGTTCTCAATTCTTTATTTCGTTGCACACGTATGGTTTATCACTTCTTTGGTATCTTTCTTCACACAAATGCATCGAGCACACCTCAATTCACAACAACTGAATTTGTAATTGCCGGAGATTCCAATAACAATCACATACAGACATCTGGACATAGGCTAGTTAGTGAGATAAAAGAATATTTGGATGAAACAAAGAAGCATAAAATATATTATGTGTTTTCTTTTTGTGGAATTTTGCTGTTTTCAACTCATATTGTGAGTCCTTGGTGTGTTAATTCACCTTCAAGTTCTTAAGTCTGTAAGTTGTAGACTAGTTAATTCCAGGGGGTTATATTGAGCAATGACCCTCCGTACGCGTCCTGCTATACGCTATATTATATAAAGGTTTTTTGAATGAACATAAATGCAATTTAATCTCATGAAATGCAGAACTGCAACGGCGCCATTTCGATAAAGCTGAGAGCGAGGTGATGTCTCGCCGCTTGTCAGATAGTTCGCCTCTCGGCTGCAAATTTTGCAGGCAAACTCACAACAAAAGCATGTCCAATGATGGGAATGGATGTTTTTCTGACCTTTATTCCCAGAGAGAGAGAGAGAGAGATTCATTATTCTTCAACCAGAAAAGCAAGCATTGCAGCAATAATAAAAATATACAACAACATACGCAGTAGAGGCAGAGAAACTCTTCTTTAGCGGGTGTTCAATCAAAATACTCCGTTTCCCGGTTTCTGACTTATTCTGTGCAACAATAGACCATACACTTCTACGGTATTTATAATTCAAGAAATCAGCAAATTTTTCGATATACATATTTTGTTCGACGCGATAACAAACGTTGTGTACTCCGAATGTTCAGTAATGCAATTATCATTTCAGAATTTTTAGCTTGCTTTACAGCATTACACGTTAAAACTGTTTAGGTAAATTTTCAGTTCGCCAAATGGTATCCCCTAAAATAGAAAAATGTATTTCCCAGGGAATTTTGCCCCGTTCGGAAATCTCTAGTCTAATGTATCCGAGCTCACATCTATGATAGCCGTTATCTCCAATGTGCATACCATCGATGGTGTTATATCTACGATATAATACCTCTATCAGTATTTTAAGTGAGGATTGGGACAACAATCTTTTGGAAGATTGCCATGGGTATTTTAACACCGAAACATGTGAATAATTACGCCCTTTTACAGTTTAATGACGAAAATGCAAGATGCAAATGTAGCGGGTACATTAGGATAGTTACTGTGTATTTTAATATTTTCACCACGTATTGTTAAGTGCATGTTATTTGCCTGAAACAAGGTCGTTGCTCTCATTCATTTCCCATATATATGATATATTTTATCTTGCTCAGTGTTGCTTGTCTTTATCGTTTTTTGTTAGTTAGAAATTTGGTTTCATCACCTATACTTGCTTTAAGGTTTTAAAATGATTTCGTTATTTGGATCAATTCGATAGTGCAACTTTACAATATAAAAACATTTGGCATTCAAGACATTATGTGCTTAATTGACCTCTGAAGGAGTCTAGATTGGAGTTACACTCTGTTAACGTGTGTTCAATAACACGGGAGTGTAGACACGCAGATAGGGCCATAGCCCCCTGTACAAGTATCGTATCGCGATGTAACTGATCGAAGTTTTGGAATTTAGATGTCCTTCTCGCGATTCGGTTCACAGATGCAAATATACGTGGGTGCAAATGCACATGGGTGCAAATTTCCGCGGAGTCAATGTAGGCCTATATGCGAATGCTTAAACTTATGGGTGGAAATGTACGGGTGCAAATGTGCTGTCACCATATTTTGCACTCGCTTTTCAAATCTTACCTCATTGCTGTAAATAGTGGCTAATGCTAATCAAATATTAACGCGAACAGTCACAGTGTTGTATTTGAAAGAACAAGGGCATCAAACATTTCTTTGGTATTTTATATTACATATCAATCAAAATGGTTAATCTATATTGTACAATGGCGTTGAAACGTGGCAAGACAAAAAACAAGGTCACAAACACGGAATATTCGCCTACCGACATTATAAATGGAATCAACGTTGTCGATCATTTCTATTATAAAATCATAACACATGGTATGTATCAATCAAAATGCTCAATCCACCTTGTACAATACTGGTGTTGAACAGCAATAAGGCAATGAAACAATGGCAGCGAAAAACCAGGAGATTCGCCTATCGACGAAAGTAAAGGAATATTCTGTGCTTTACTTTCTCGTGTGGGCGAATGTTTCGTCAGCTTTACAAGATGCCAGAAATCCAAAATCAAGGCAAGATGCCATCGATGCCACGAAGAAAACATTAGCGCTCACACTTGGAACACTGTAAGTGTAGCAGGTAAAATAGATTTAAGCATTTTAGAGGATGCATCTTAATAGCTTGTTTTAACGCACTGCATATTCCAATATTCTTCAGTTAAAAAAGAACTTGTCCCGTGGACATTTTAGCTATGTATTAGACTCATATGAAGCGTAAATGCCCGCTTTCTGTAAGAGCCAAACACTTCCAGCAGTGACTTGTTGACGAAACTATAATTGAATCGGGTCGTAGTGCCAAACTTAGTTCTACGGTATGAATACAGCTATTAAGCATGATTCGAGTTGAAAGGATCAATTTCGTTATAGGACTATATAGAAACTCACATTTGGCGGGTCTGCGTTATTAGGCAAATAGCCAGGTTACTCATTAACGGAAATGCGTACCTAGTTTGCAGTCATTCTTTTATACAAACATTAGTTTAGGGGGAGACTGTTAGAGATGGTTATGTAATCTCCGTTATGGTGAGCCAGGCTCGCTGATAAATTGTTTTATTCATTTTAAATATAAATGTTTTAGGGTGTACGAAACCACCAGGCGCTTGGCATCGTTTTTTAAGCTTCGAGAGCTGATTTTAATTAGAAATTAGTAACCAGCGAGTTTTTTACCATATAAAGATTGGAGGTGTCATTTTGAAATAATTTTTATTCTGTCTACTAGACTTAGAGCAGGGGTCACCAACCTTTTCGAAGCCGAGGGCTACTTTTAGGGTACAGATTAAGCTGCGGGCTACCAGTTCAATGTACACTTCTAAAAAAATCAGTTGCTCGATTAAGCTTCAATTATTGATATAATTACTGGTATTTAGGGAAGTATACACACAAATAAACTTTAGGATTCTTCAGGAAATCAAACGATTATCACAACGTTGTAAATAAATTTCTATCAATAACACTTGTATTTCAAAACTGAGTGTTAAATTGATTTTCATAGGAAACAACAATGTACTTGAATTATTTACAAACACTCTGCACAAGTCTAAGATAAAATGGACTTAACAGTTGTACTATCAAATGTTGCATAGTATTATACTCCGACGTGTAACTTGACACTGTAACTCTGACCGAGTCTTGCAGATTTTCATCAGTGAGGCGTGTTCCATGTTTGTTCCTGGTGGAGTGTGTCGCGGCGCTATGGCCCATCGTGTTAGGCGTTAGGTTTGCAGGTTAGAATCCCATGATCGACATCGAATGGTAACCGGCGAAAAGCCGTGGTTTGTCACATGGTTAAGCCGTCCTATCGGCTATCACGAAGGCTGTTTTTATGTTGGTATAAATATATCCACCTACCATTCATCGTGAAAATGATGGATTTTTCTTTGAAATCAATAATTGTATTATTAATGCTCCGCTAACCAACGGCCAAGAAAAAGCGCTGCTTCGTGGAAAGTGATCTCAGTGTGATGTCATAATTGGAAGAGTGTTAATTGACCCGTCACATTACTGGGGTCAAATAAAAATAAGGTTGATGGTTACAATAATCAATATAGTGTTATTCTCTGTTCCATATAATTGTGATTTATACTAAAATAGCAGGACAAAATTTAATTGATGTAGCTTACTTATAAAAGCAGCTATTAAGCTTAGTTTGGAACAAACCTGCGGGCGACTCATATGGTCTTCGCGGGCGACTTGGTGCCCGCGGGCAACGCGTTGGTGACCCCTGACTTAGAGTCTACTCTAGACAAAGAACATTCAGAGTCAATATGCAATTCATAAATCTACTTTCTTGTACATTTTAGTAATTATTCGACTACTTAGCAATACATTACACAGAAGTATGTCAGCCGCAGAAAAGCCGTCTTTTGCTTATAAATGGGCCTTAGCATGCTCACTATTAGCTTTGGTATTTTCTATCATAGCGATTGCCACGCCTGAATGGACTGTGGATGGAAATAAAACCATTGGGCTGTGGGTGATATCAGATAATGGCGAACAATATACCTGGACGAATCAAGGAGAGTATTTCGAACGTACGTACGTTAATCAACTAATTGTGCTTTCGATAGTTTTTTTCCTACTATTACTTCGTAACTTGACAAATAGCGATGGTAACGTTTAACGCATGCAAACCAATTGAACTAAGCAAGAAGTTCGCGGTAGTAATTGAGCCCATTCGTAGATGGTTCCATTACATTTGAACGCACGTACATTTGAATCCATGACAATTGCACCTGTATGCTATTGCACCTGTGGAATTTTTTTTGTTTCACGGATAGTTAAACCCATACTAACCCTAACCCATGGGTTTTAGCGCCCGCATATAGATTGAACCCGTGGATATACGCCTGGGTTCAAATGTACATGGGTTCAAATGTACGGTCACCTTCGTCGATACGAGGACAGTGCTCGAATACTTTATGGGCAGAATAGCCAGTGTTTTTCAACCGGGGTGCCGTGGCACACCGGTGTGCCGTAAAATATTGTCAGGGGTGCCGTGGGAACTCAATATAGCATTCAGAATTCGGAGATTCCACGCAATGACTGTACACGGTTTTTATTCACAATTTGATACGTAAATAAAACAGCCGCAATAGAAAAGTAAATTCAAGGAGGTCAACTATCGTCTTCATAAATATCCGCATTCCGGCGTCAGAAATGATAATCTTTTTAGCTTAAAATTGGGACAGTTGATTTACAAACGGTGAAAAGAAAGATCTAACCCGACCCAAAAGATAAAAATAGAATTTAAATCACGAATTCGTTGAAATTATTCGATTCGATGAAAATATTTTCCCACCCTTGCGATCTGTAATCACGCTAGTAATCTGGTAAATGTGTAGTAGTCCAAACACTGATGCAATGAAACTTAACAAAACCTCCATAAATTTAGTAAATTGCACTACTTCATGAAAGCGTGGTGGAATTGACGACTATTTCATATCTCGAACACAAAAACGGTTATCTTTTTCAGATAGTTTCAGCGGTATGAAAAGTCGAATAAGCGTTTCGACTTAATAAATGCTATCTATGATCTTTACCATCAAATATGCTCGGGTCATGCACGAAATTCATAACGTGAAAAGATACGTCCAGCGGTGAAAATTGTTTATAACAACTTTAAGCATATTTAGTGTTTTAGCGATAATACTTAATTGTTGTAATGAAATACAGTTTGTTTGCCTCTTGCATTTATCTCGCAAGTGCCGAAAAATTTCACTATAGAATGAATTTGGCAATGAAAGAAACATATTGAATTGTAACAAAAATGAATTAGGTGGTGAAAAAGTGAGAATACACGTGATAATAATAAGGGCGCAACGTGGAACGGGGGAAGGCGATCAAAACCGAAGCGCGTGATCGGCGGTGCGTTTGAAGACCACGTAATAAATACCCGTGCGGCCGCGCAACTTTTACAATAAGGTGAGGTGCTCCAAAGACGCTCTAGTTACTAGTATCTAGTTTACATTAATGTGAGAAAACAGTTGTAATGTCGGTAACTATTAACCATTTGTTCGCGTTCGACTATTGCGCTCTTTATGAGTAGAAATGTTCGAGTTTTGTGCTAGGTGTGCCGTGATATAAAAAAGGTTGGTGACCACTGGAATAGACTATCTATGTTGAACTACCAACTATCGTTCTGGAGGGTTTTTGTTATCAAAAAACCCGCCCTTGTGATTTAAACATTAGACGACCCCAGCAAAAGGATAACGGTCCGCCGTAGATATTTAGGGATTCGAAAGTCTGATTCATGAAATAAGCGTAATGTTAATGTAGCTTATATAGTGGCATACAATCGCGTAACGTTATGTTACGTTCTTGAATTGTTATAGATCTATATGTTTAGCATGGTTTGGGAAATGCGGGGACGGGCCTGTTGGTAGTGATACGACAGAGATCCCGTTGTTTGAATTTCGAATCCCATCGCTACCCGCTCGGTCACAAAAATACACTTTGTTAAGCGTTAATGAGCTTGCATGAGTTACACGCATGTGTTTGTATAGCGAGAGGGGGGATTTGATTTAGGCCCTAAGCGAAATATAATGTGTAACTGTTGCACTTATATGAACATATATATCATTACATTTGTATACAGCTTTCTTTTATACGGACTTCATGCAAGCGTGCCGTGGATTGATGATGAGCGGAGTCATGGTGGCAGGACTAGGCTGTCTTTATCACATCTTCGTGTTATTCAAAAATAAGATCAATATGACATCGGGCAATATTCTGCTGACGTATTATTTGCTGGCTTGTAAGTGGGTTTCCTTAGTTTAACAATCGAAGTGTTTTTAGTAGCGATCGGCCAATCAAATAATTTATTATTGTTATTGTCGTCGAATACGTAGAATCTTGAATTGAATGCAATTCGCTTACATCCATACGAAAAATCTTGCCTTTACTCTTTTATAGCTTTTCTTCTCCTGATCACTGCTGCCGTTTATAGCTCAATGATCCCCCAGCCCGTGTGTATCGATGGTTCTACAACATGTACGGAACTGAATGAGATAGAAAAGTATATGTACAGAGGAGGTTATGGATACTCGTTGTGGTTCTGTTGGATCAGTGGAGGTCTGTTCATGCTACCAGCGGCATTGACTTACGAAGGAGGAAAGCAACGTAGAAAAGAAAAAATGCGTGATGAGGCTAGGCAGCAACATAGCACGGAGGCGATGTAACGAGCCAACAAAGCGGGACGCTGTACACGTTTATACATGCAATACATTTCTGATTTAGTTCAAAAATAATTTCTTAATTTTGGTTTATATTATTGTTGCTGGCTATGTTCTTATATATACGAGTGCGACATAGCTCCCTCGTTGATTTGTTACTGACACATTAAATGTTAATTTTGCTTTATAATACAATGATAAAATTTATATAACATTTGTTGCTTGTATCCGGAGCATACACAGACAGTATTGAACAGACCTTTATGGGTCCCACAAAAATCCTCCTCCCATGATTTTGTTGTCAATTTTGATAATACTTTTGCGATCTCTCGCTCGTGCCATGGTATAACTCCCACTAAGCTACTCCGCTTTAAGCAATTCAAACAGCTTTATTAGCTGAAAGGCAATTCCAGATCGTCCATACATTCGAAATTAAACATGGTCGCCGATAATATATTTGTAAAGTTCGAACTAAAACTCGAGGATACTTTTTACCTACAGAAACCGTTGTTTTGTCATGTCGCTCGGTTTAATACTTATAATCACGTACGCTCATCCCGTCCTAACCAAACTCTGACACCAATCTTTGGAGGATGAAGGAAGAAATCTTCCATAGAAAGAAATAGCAACAATTTGTCAATTCATTTTATTTCATTTAGTATTGATTTAAACAACATTGCAGAAAAATAGCACAAAACAGTAACACTAGTCACAGAAGATGAAACAACCTCATTTTGATCATTTTCCCAAAACATTGAATAAAATCGTAAAATTAATTGAAAACAGGTAAAATTATTTATGGCAATTACATGATGGATGATGACTATACATTAGTGAATACTTTGTCTGCTATTCACAGAAACAAGTCGTCGTTAAGCTAACGCAAGCCACCTAGCGACAAAGAGACAGCCTACAGCAATATCAAACACTATTTGACAAGGAAACTTTAAAAAACTAGCAGAAGACGAAAAAAGTGGGTCAGCAAAGGCATAAGAAAATCACAATTTCTCAACAAAAACGAATTATGTATAATTATCAGAGATGAGTCGTTTGAGGTTACATACCAGAACGAAAATTAGAGATTTTCAACTGAATCTGAACAGCAAAAATTAAAGAAATAAAAATTATGTTAAAACCTGATAAAACCCAGACTAGCTCTTCTTAAATGTCAAGTGTATATTATCTTCAATTGTCAGGATTTACAATTGTCAAGAATACTTATAAATCCAGCGATATTCACAGAGATTCACATATGTTTTTAACTATAATAAATGATAGTGGGTTACGAAAGAAGTGGCACAACTTATGTTCACAACATATCGAGAAGTACACATAATGTTTTATAGCGAAGAAAAACTGGCCGTTTCTTTTTTCCATAAATATTTTTAAGTGGTATAAACTTGAATACTAAAACCTGGTTAGAAAACAGTTTTTCTGTGAAAAGGCGCGGGCAATCTATTGTACATTTTCTGCAAATAAAGGTATTCCATCAGAAATCAGTATCAGGAATGACACTTTTAAAAACAACCACTCGAATCGATATCATAGAACAAGTTACTGATAAGGTAGATAAAAAGATAAAGATTGTGATAACAACGAAAATTAGGTGCAAGAATTAATATACAAAGGCAGTCTTTATACAATACATGATTATTATTGTGCCATACTCGGGTCTAGCATATAAGCCTTCATTATAAAAGATATAGTGCATAATATGTTTGGCCCGACCTATGACGCAATAAAGTGGAGTGATTACAATTAGATAGTGGATGATATATTAACATGAAAAACAAAAAAGTTGGTATATTTAAAATAATTACACACAAGTTCAAATAACCTTCATTTAAAAATGGAAGTCAAGGTAAAATTCCCTTTCCAGTCGAATCAAACAAGCATAATTATATGGCAATATTAAAAAGAATGAAACTAAGAAGGCAAATGGTACCGATTATTATTTACCAGTTGATGTTAAAAATATTATCAAGCACACTTTGATAAAATATTAAGTATGGGAATTATCGTCATTTTACAGTTCAAACGCTTATACAAGATAGAAAACCAGAAGTTGATTATGGGTGATTTTGGATAAATGAATCACAAAAAATAGCGCTGTACATGGTATATTTGTTATACACACAGACTTTTGTACAGAACCTTTTTTATAATATGTGTTTGATTTTGTTTGTAAAAGATAATGATTGTTTCCGAAACTTGTACCAAAAGGCAGAGTGGTAGAAATCAAGTAAAAAGGCAATACAGTGCATTAATCAATTCAATTTTGGAATTAAGTACCGCAATGTTTAAATGTATTATGACAGGAGAAAATTTAAAGTACCGAGAACGAAAAACAAGTCAGAAATACTTCTTAAAATTTTAGGAAAATAGTTAGATGTTGACAATCTTGAATCAGGCTTTCACACTTTCCATTCTGCTGAATAATCGAACTCTCTTCGTATTAGCTGTTGCGCTGCGAATCACCTCCATCCATCTGAATATGATTTAAAATAGAAGTTAATGATCATTCTAGGCTGGGTAAGATAATTGTTATATCCAGAAAACTGACCAGGAGCCACTGACCCAAATTAATCAGCAGTTAACTTCCCTGGCTCGACTCGACGGTGTGGCGCATCATGCTAAGCGTTAGGAATACGCTCGCCACCGCAACTCTGATAACCCTGTGTGGGTTCGCATACCCGACATGGAATGGTAACTGAATGAGAGTCTGTGGTTCTCCATATGATTGAGCCGTCTTATTGGCTCTCCCCTCTCCTCTCCGGGGATGTAATTCTTATCATATGGCGATGGTGAGAGGTGAGTTTGTGAAGTAAACATAGAAACACTTATTTAGGCAGATGCTGCCCTTCAGAATCAGACAATGTAAGGTATGAAAAAATACATCACCTAATACACCTTATTTCACCCATTGAACATTAATATTAAATCTGAATAAACTTTTTCTTAAGAAAGTTTGCTCAGAGCAGGGTTAAAAGTAGAACCACATCGAACCATTAGTTTCAGGTATAAATTGATTCATAGCCGTATAAGTAGTTTATGACATCTCACTATACTACTTTCTTGTATTTGTTGGCTCATAGTATCAGCTTGTATATATCATCAGCAAAACAAAACAGGAATGAAAAAGGAAACAAAAAATTGGACCTCCTGAAGTATGCGCACCAAGATGGTGCACAACCTGAACTCAGGTTGTGTACCAGGTTAGGGTTCAGGTTATGCGACATCTTGGTGCGCATACTTCAGGAGTACCAAAAAATTTTAACACTCACCTTGAGAATGTGTACTGACTTTCCGCTCGGAAGAAATAAACATGAGTTTTGAATTGTAGTTTGAACACATATTCTTTCTGAATATTATCCTCAGGATTAGGATTTGTTGCCGAGTAACCAAGCAACGGTAAACTTGCAAGTGGAAACTCATCCTAAATAGAAAAGGAGGGATTGTTAATATAGTCAAGAACGAACATGATTTTACTTTGGATTTGTGCTTATAGTATTACCCACGTTTTTGCTAATTAGTATACATTGTATACTATTCAAAATGTACAAACGTCCGGCTGGGTATAAGTTGCACTTAATGCAAGCAAAATGTTCTGATGAAGATTGAATAACAAATGAAAATAGTATTTATACGTAGTGGGGAAGAATTAGAAACTCAAATGTACATGAGAAAAATGTCTGATTGGAAACAAGGTATGCATGACTTACGTTACACGATTTTATATCTGTCATTCTTTGCTAAGTTCAGGATTCTACAGTTTCCCTATTATCTTAACAAGTTTTTGTTTATTCTATTGTTTAGCAATTCTGTTGGAAAAAACTTCCTTTTTAATATGAACAATTTATTTTTAAGTAAATTTGCTCAAAGCAAGGCCACACTTTCATCACCCAGAAAGAAAGGAGATTGATTTTCAAGCGAAGTTGAGGCGAACAATGAAGATCCAAGACTGAGATTATATAGGAACATAGTGTAGATTGTTGTAGAAGGATTTCAATTATTATAGTGTTTAAGGGTGTCATTGGAATTGTATAAATAATGAGTAGCTCAAGCTAGCATTTATGAAACTACTAACACAAATATAAGCACTGAAGGCTATGGTCAAGCTTATGAAATGGGACAAAAATACAAACAAATATTACCCTTCTGTTTTTGACGTCTATGATAAAACCAGTGCTTCATCAAATTGACTTTCAGATTATTAATCACACCAAAAACAATTCCAAGTTTGGCAATACACAAATAAAGGCAAAACCTACCTGATGTGATTTGTAAAAGAAAAGACAGAAGTTTGAGAAAACGACCCATAATTTTTGCCAACCGTTAGAATTCTTGAATTTACGAAGTAGATATCCACAAAGTTGATTCTGAAACATCAAATTTAAAAATTTTAGGATTCAAAAAATAACTGCCATAACCACACAACAGTACCATATTGAAACAATTTCCTTTTAAACTTTTAAAATTGTTTGATCAAAGAATTTAGTAAAGACAGTGGCAATCCAGTCAAATATCTAGTGATTCGAACCTGTTTAAACTCAGTTGAAATTTATATCAAAGATGGCCAGACCTGAATAATACACTATTTTGAATAAAATCTAAAATAATATTCATGTCGCAAATGGAATACAATTAAAGTTGGATCATGTTCAACAAAAAACATAAATATCAATGGGCTCGTTTTGAAAATGCGGTCAAGTTGTAGATCAACAATTCAATGTAGATTCAATTTGTAATTTATTCAAAGCCTATTGGTCATACTGTGAGACTAAGAATAGGATCAATTTCAAATCAATTCGACTACACAATTTCATTTTAGACATGCTTATTGTATATAGCTAAACCTATTTTGAGATAAACAAGGTAATTCTTATTAAAAAAATAGGAAACTGGTTACGCGTACTGATAAAAAAACAAGATGAAAATTTAATAACCTGCAATGATATATTGTAATCATCAGCACTGACACTTGTATTTCTATGCCAACAGACATGCATTGTAGTGTTTGTTCTTTGTTGATTATTGTGAGATTTATTAGACGATGGATCGAGTGAATTACGTGACGAGCTAGAGTCATCGGATTGGTCCATTGATTGATCGCTCACAGGCCCTTTGAATTCGAACACAAATATAAATTAGTCTGATAACATTAACATCCCATGGCCGCCTTATGTTAGAAGTGTTAGGAATGTCTGCATGGGTTCACAGCCTTCTAGATTTTTTTGTGGACAAATTAATTCATTTGTCCAATTCATTTGCAAAATTTAACATGTTATTTAGAATGAAATATTTAGAATTATAAATGTTTACCATATCAACCAGGGTGTAATAAATTTGGGAAGCTAATTACCCAACTGGGAAGAAACGAGTTATTTGAAACACATAACCACTCCCTACATATCAAATGGCTGCTTGTTTAAGCCCTTATCTGAAGTAAAGATGCTAAGTAAAAAAAACTTCTATCAGTAGGCCATGGCTCACTACTGGACCAGAAAAACATTTCCAGGTGGGGCAAAAATATACTTAAAAGTTCAGACTTATTGATAAATTAGTTAAATTTGATTATATCAGAAATGAAATATGATGCTGTTTGTGAGAGTGCTTGGAAATTTTTTTTTAGTTTTTCCTTGTAGGTTATCTCATGCATGAGAAAGCTACTGTGCCACAGAATTTTTTGTGCAACAAAAATGGGTCACAAAAGAAAAAGATTGAGGACGACTGCGCTAGGTCATTGTACAAACAAATACTGCACTGCAATATATAAATCTTACTTGACGAGCCACCATTAGTGAGAGGAGATTGATACAAAGTGTCTTTACTGATGTTGATAAAATGATTCAGGTCTTCAATCCATTTAAACATTTCTTCCTGAGTTGCAGCAGCAACAACAACTGTTTTTGAACCTGACAATATACTGAAACAGTTTGGCACTGCACGATCACTGTCATTGATTTCAATCTGTGAATGAAAAATGATTGTTTAGCGGAAAAACATAGTTGCACTAGTAAAAAGAAATTGCTAACTAAAAAACTAAACTGAAAAACGAAATATAAGAAAGATTTTTTTATGAAAAATATTAAAAATGAGTGTTTAAGACTCGCTTTATTTCTGATTTCGGGAAGCTGTAATTTATGTCAAATTTTATGCAGTAAAGAAAGACTGAAATCAACTAAAAAAATTTTTTTTGATTAATCTTAATGTTTTATACATTGAATTTCAATTTCTAAAAATTCTATATTGACAATATTATTCAGCAAGAATATGATGATGATGTATCATACTCAACTTGATGAAAAAAATTCTGCCAAAAATACTGGATTTTTTCTGGGATAAATTACTAAACGCTATTCATAATTTTCAGTCATCTTCAAGGTATTTCGTAATACGGTATCCGCGAAAAATCCTCTTAATGGAAGTAACATTTAGGGATGAATTTCATCCAGGTGAGTACAATATAAGTTCCATGGGTGTGGGAACTTTCCAATATTCTGGGTTGATTTTGTGTGTGTAATTTTCTTAGAGCCTTCAATATAATCAGACACTTACAATCATTCCATGCAGTGGTAACTCTCCATGTACTTTGAACTGGTTTGTTGATGTGACTCCTTTACTGGTATATAGCAAGCAACCAGAATACAAGAAAAACAAACGTTGTTGGAAACCTTTTCTTGATAATTTGTACAAACTTCCTTCACGAACGAAAATCTGAAAAACAAGAGAACAACTCTCAAATAATTGAACACAATAGTTGAAGGGTAATATCAGTAAGACTTGCCTGAGCACCCAGATAGCTGAAAACTTTCGGGCAAAGTGTGACAGAACAAATAAAGGGCGCTCCAGAAGTATGTGTACCAATATGGATATAATTAATTTTGTTTGCCTACTTTACATCAAGTTGTGTAAAGGGACAGAAGCCTATCGGAAGGGGGTATATTCACTTGGCTAATACAAACAGTCCCCGAACTCGTAATAGACCTAAAATAAGGAAAATCAGAATAAAATTATGGCCTAACCCTAATCTGGTACACATACTACTGGAATACCAAATAAAGTGCACATATGTATGACCAGTGCACTACAAAAAGTGTTTCTACAAACAAAACAACAAAATTTTGGGAGAACTGTCAATGCCCATAACTTTAAAAGTAAGTAAATGTAATAGCCTTCTAGTGGCTTTTTCAATAGCCTATTCGAGTAATCAAAATTTGAAACTGATTGCTCGATCACTTTTGATTAACTGCAATCTAGCAAAATATTTGATGCAAATTTAGAGGCTGAACAACAAGAGATGCTACCAATGAAACAGACTCTAGCTACCTATGAACTTTTATGTCATCAATAATTCAAGGGTGATAATATTGCATCGGCCCATGAGGGGTAATTTAATAAAACTGCAAGTTAGCCATTTTCAATAATGCATTATTAATATATAATATAATAGATGTAGTGCTACTAATGGAAGATAATGAATTTTATAAAAAAGATTGAAAATGGAAAGGCCAAATATCATTTCATAAAGAGTCTCACACCCTGAAAAAGGCATAAGAGAGAGAGAGAGGGAGCTACTGCTTATTAGAGAGACAGAATCTTTCTAATTTGTTCTGGTATTGATATTACACCATGTGTGAGGTTGTGGTCTCAGAATGCTCTACATGCTACATGTGAATGTGAAAATAGATATCCCGATGCACAAACCATTAGATTAGACAGGTGATATATATATATATACCTTTACAAATCTCTGGCAAATACTTCTGACTATTCAGAAGTATTCAAATGAATTTCTTTATAATTCTAAAAGTAACAAATTGGACCTAATGTGTATCAGATATGAGTAGACGAGCTACTGAATATTAAAATGCATTATTTTGTATCAAAAATGCATCCGAATATAATATGTTTATGTAAAAAGTATCATTGAAACTATTGCTTTTGTAAGTTGACTATATAAAAATCATTGGTATCAAGAAGCAATTTGAGATCTCTGGTTCAAATTTAAGTTGATGTTAAGTTGTTTAAATTTTGTAATTATCAAACTTGATGGAACTATTTGGGTATTCATCTTGATTATTAAGATATTTAATTTTGATCATACCCACTGGGCAATATTTTCTATATTATACATCCTTGTCTCTTATCATTAAACACCAACAATAACTGAAAGATGGTGCTTAAAGCTAGATCAGTGGCGTAGGCATGGTGAGGCCTAGACAATTTCTTGAGGGGTGTAAAGCTAATTAAAAATGAAAATATTTGTTAAATTTGATCTTGCCCGTCCTGTTTTGGATATTTGACATTTCCTAATTGTTTAGAGATAGCATGAAGCTGCTGTGCTTGTTGTTACCTTGATTATCTGTTTTTTAACTTTTGCCTTACTGTCTGTTATTTGTAGATTATTGTTAGCTAGGTATTTTTGAAGTTTGACAAATTCTAAAAAAGGGGCGCGGCTTAAAAAGAAGAAGAAGAACCACTGAAAAATAGAAGCATGGCAACTCTAAGTTAAGAAAAGTTTATTTCAAAGATTGGTCAACAGATATATTAAACTCTAGACATAATCCTCATTGCACTGATTAATGTTTAATAACCGCATAAGATATATTAGTTAATAAATATTGTGAAATGAATATTTCGTAATTCAAACATTTCCCTAAAAGAAAAGAACACATGTATTGATTTCAACACATATTTGTTGAACCTAGTATGCTAACACTGTTACACTGCCATCAGGAATACAAATAATACATATTTTTCAAGCAGTATTTCATAGCTATTACAGACTTTACCCTTAATGAAATCTATTTCGTATTAGGTTTATGGTTTCATATAATATATCATTAAAGACGTGTTTTCATCCCGATGTCACATTCCATGGAAGTAAATACCACAAGGTCATTGGGCCATATCTAACCCTAAAATGAATTGATATGTTCTTGGTTACTTCTGTATAAAAAGATTGACAATAAATTGAGCAATAACAACATGAAGATGATGTCCTGTTGCCAGATTTTTTTTCAAGCCAAGTATTTTTAAATGATTTTAAACAAAGTTTTTGTTTTTTATAGGTTATGCTGGGTTCATACTTGAAATAAATGCATTGGTTTGTTTTTAAAAGTCATGGTACTCCCGTAGTGTGGGTACCAGGTTAGGGTTAGGCCATGATTTTATTCCGATTTTCCTTATTTTAGTTTTTTTACGTGTTCGGGAACTGTCTGTGTTAGCCAGGTGAATATACCCCCTGTTTCAGTCCCTTCACACAACTTGATATAGAGTAGGTGAACAAAATTAGTTACCTCCATATTGGTACACACACTTCTGGAGTGTCAAAGTCATTATACTCATGTACTCCTTTGTAGATTATGGTTTCAAGTATACGGCAATGTATTCATTGTGTCACAAATGATTAATACCAGAAAATTTACATTGAAAAGATGATTTTATGAGTAATATGATAAAGTTTGTTGAGCAGATCTATGTACTTCTTTGACTGAATATCAATAAATTTTAAATTTCTTTTGAACTTTGCATTGCAATAATGTAAGTTCATGCAAATGACCAAACATTCAAAATCATCAAGTAACATCTTGATCTTGTCTAAAAAAGTGAAAGCCAAATTCCCAATCGGCCTTTAAGAATGTAGAATAATGTATTCGATACACCAGTACTCAAAAATTGTATTTATTTTAAACAAAGGTGAAATTATTGGTATTTCAGTATCAACAATAAAAATATGAGCAAAAAGACTGATGAGTCATTTTATTCAATCCATCTGATTCAAATTTGTAAATTTTCACACAATTTAGCATAATGAAAAAATGAATATTCAAAATTGCTTTGACATTTAATAGTAATTACAAATCCTAACATCTAATATACTAATCATAATCCTTAAAAAGAACTGTGTTAACTTTATTGTCATGTTATCATATATGTTAGTTCATTCAGAGGTAGACCAAATTTTCAATATAATTAAACTTTCCTGGTTACTAATTTCTAATAATGGTTAAAATCACTTACCCTGTCATTCGTCACTAGATTATCAACACCGATGAGGTCATGTCGCAGTTGAGCAAGTTTTTGGAAATTGTGAGCTCTTTGTAATTTGGGTTTCAATGAAGAGGAGATGGTATTTAGGTCATTTGTAGCAGATCTCAATTCATTGTGTTCACTAGCTTTTCCTTCCTGGGTATAATGTCTGAGTAGGCCTGGATAAATGAGAGAAAATAACATTATTGAGTCATCACAGACATGACGTAATTTCAGTCTTCAAGTCAGTGTATGAATCATATTTTTTGCTTGTTTTGTAACTAAATGAACATACACAAATTGTCGATGAATAAGTGTACGAAAGGTAAATAATATACCCTAATGTCTGGAAATTTGAAACTTTACTATTCCTTCACAAAAAAACAGGAGGTAGTAACTAGTAAGACTTAAAATATAGGAATTGTCAATATGAACAAAAACTGAAAATTCATATCACATGAATGACCAATCAAAATGGCCTAAATATAAACATTCGAAACATTCAAAAATAAGCAGTAAGCAGAAATTTTGAATACTTTTTCAAGCTCTTGATAACTTGCAAACTTTATCAATGAATCAATTCGATTACTTTATCATTATAAAATATAATGAAACAAATTTCTTAGCTACTCAAAATATTGCTGATCTAACATTGAATACAATATATTTTGATCTGTTTAGTAACAACTTGAATGAAAAATGTATTTCCATTTAGCGCTACAAGTGATTTATATTATAAAAACAACTGTAATATACTTCCAAATGATCTGAATTTGTATTACTACAAAGAATGACATGAAGCAGCTCAGTTTATTTGAGGTATATAATTTTACAATGGTGACGCAATGAAACTAAATATAACTCAAAATAATCAAGAATGAAATTAAACTGCTTCAAAATAATTTAAAGGTCAATAATATACTTCAACTAGTAATCACAAACGAACCACAATGTCTTGGAGGAATATTATTACTCCTGAGAAAGGAGACATGATCAAATTATGCTTATAAACAAATCGAATCATAGATATGACACTGTTAAAAACAAGAAAAAAAAACAACGACTATTTCGAAGTTAATTTATCATGAAATGGAAGCTATCAAAGATGTGCAGCAGAATGTTTCTATGCAACATTCGAGACTAATAATTATGAATAATATATATTTGAAAGTACATTAAAATGTTGAGTATTTAACTCATTTTTTTAAAAGTCCAGTAGTAAGCCCTGAAGGGAATTTATTCGATTAAAATGATGATGATGTGATGCGTAATTATATTGATACAATCTAAAATGGCAGTCACAGTTATACGAGACAAAAAACAGTAAATAATCTAAATCAGAAATAGAAAATAATGGTGCTTAAACTTCATATGAAATCATAAAAATATATCTGGTTTCCTAGATCAAATAGGGTAATATTAAATTTTCTAAGGAGAATTTCCAGTGACATGAATTATTTACAAGTGTAAGTCACAACAGTAGGATGTTCTACCCATTACTAATTACTAACTTCATGTCAAGATTTATAACCGTGTTTCCCCGAAAATGAGAGCTAGCCTGAATTTTAATGATGACTTTAAGGTCGCTAGCCCAAAATATTTTTTGACCTCTGTAGCAAAAAATCTTGTAATTCTCTACTTTGTAATTGATAAATGAAAAAGGAAGACATCCCCCAAAATAAGCCCTGGTGTTATTTTTCGAAGAAAAATTGAAATAGGACCAGGAAAACACGGTATTGACGGTGTTGAGCAGGGGTGTTCAAAATGTTTATCTAATTTATTCTGCATCACCAAATTTAATTACCTGTACTATAAATTTACATTTCTGAAATTTTATCTGTTGAATATGACGCACTTCACAATGCTCCAGATTATAAAATAATATTTTATTTTTTTTCAGAATAGTTTAATATTCGGTTTTGGCCATCCATGGTATTGAACTAATATGCTAATAGCTAATATACTATTTATAAGTTATTTACAGATTTCTTCAAATATTTGCATTATCATGATACCTTAGTATTAACTTTACCCGGTTAGCTGTACTAACTACTGGTATGTTACCAATTCTATGTAGATAATATAACCAAGAAGAACTATATTATTTTAGATGCTCGAAAATTATCCAAAGTCATTCATGTCGCTCATAAAAGAAAATTTCCTAAATTCAAAAGCAATTAGTATCCTTATGCAATTTAGAACTATTTATGATAACTATACAGTCAATGGGTAACTACTATGTTTAGAAGAACCAAATTCTACACAGTTCGGCATTGTCTACCCATTCATTGAGCAGGTTGTGAGCAGAGAGTTCAAACTCGAGATCTTCAACACTTTGACAAGTACGGTCAACAAATAATCACCGTGACAAATAAGGTCATAGGGGTCAATCAAAAAGCAAGAAAATATAAAAAAGTACTTACGATCAAACAGAACAGAGTAGTGGATGACGCGTTGCATTGGTTGAAGCAGAAATCTAGTGATTGGAATGTAACATATTTTTTGGAGTTCGAAATCTCTGCAAACTTGGTCAATTCGTTCATCCCCATTGCAAGCGTTTTCTATGGTTCTAACTAAATCTTCGCCATTTTCAATCAAATGAAATATTTTCTGAAAAAAACAAATATGGCATGAATAAAAAAATTGAAAGATAAATTTGGGAACTATAACATAATCAATGAATTAAGTACGGTATGAAGAAAAATTGAAAAATAATATTGACCCCTAGTTACAGTGATAATATAATCCTCCCCTTCATAATTAAAGAAAACATATTCAAGGCAATATTTAACACAATAATCAATATCTCAATACCAAGGTGATTGATTATACAATTGATTTCAACTTGGTATATGTCAACAAGATTCAAAGATTTTATTCCATTTGGATGCAAATAAATAGCATAAAATATTGATATACAGTCCCTGGGGAGATGAGATTGCTTTAGCAGATTCGAAAGTAATTTAGCTGTCAAGTCAAAAATATAATGAATTGTATAATGAAACACCTGCTGGTTTGTGTATTGTAATATTGTGTTTCCTGATTTAAACCTTACTTAACTTGCATACAAACATCAAATTCATAAAAAATTCACCATTTTGAAAAAAACGATTGATGAAAATACTGTTTTACGCCTTAAACGGAATCAGTAAAAGTAACATTTATTTTGATCCTAATTCTTTGTGTGTACCATTTTTAAATCCGTGGATTAGGATGAAAACCAACACTCTGTATTCTTTGGCTTATACAAAGAGAATGACATAGTCATTATAAGAATGCCTCTAATCCTACATAATTACCCAAAAGGCCGGAATTCTAGGGTAGAGAAAGCTATTTAGATCATACCGGCTTGAAATCGGTAACAAAAAGAAAAATTCGAGAATTGCTGGAGCGTGAAATAAGATTGCCGACGGAACAATAAACGCATGGGGGAGCTTAACAAAACAAAACACATATGGCACTGGACTAAGCCTTCGCTATAATATTCTGGAATGCTCAAACCTATCATGCATGGGCACAGCAAAACAGATTGATTTTAGGTTCGATTTAACTACGTTCTTATATAACAAACTATAAAAAACTTATATAAAAAACTATTTCTCAACAGTGTAGTTAATACATTATTCAAAAGCTTTTTTCATCTTGTTCTGCGCATAATACCAGAATAATTATATAGCATGCAGAAATCAGCATATGTAGCCAACTTTGCAGCCATGAATCAAATATTGAGCAATAAGTTTAAGACAAAATCCAATTTGAGGAAAAATTTAATTATGTTGCAAAAGTAATTCAATTTCTTTGTTGCATATATATATACTAATTTAATTTACAAAACTGAGTTATATATAAAAATGTTCAGTTGTATTTTTGCAAAAATGAAAGTAGCCAAGAAAATTAAAATAGGCAGATAAATAATGTTTTTTCAGTCACCCATGATCTATTTTATTCACATTTACCCACTAAATGTCATATATTTTTTATCATTCCATAAAATGTTGAGCATTCATTATATTTGCAATTAAATGTTGACAGGACAAACCACAGACTGAAATCTGAATTTACACAATATGATACATAAACATATTCAAGAAAACGTAATTCAAAAACCTTACTCATACCATTATGTTGGAAATATTACAAATGATCCCAGAAAAAAATTATAAATTGAAAAAAGAATTTAAAAACCTGTTAGATATACTTTAGATAACTATATAAACTAATAAAGTGGTGATGGAGGAAGTAACTAAAAAGTATTGAACAAGGGGCTAATAAGAACAGTCATTTCGTATGAAAAGTTGCTTTCTGTGACACCATAATTTAAAAAGTACTATACGACATGTGACATACCGTAAGTTTACCGAGAGGGTAAAAAAAATACCTCTTACCTTGATGCGTTGGAGCTGTGATATCAAAATATCATCGATATTTTCACTTTTCGTTTCATCATTTTCTGTTGAATTTATGGTGGGTGGTCCTTCCCATGAGACCATTCTCGTCTCGAGATCTTTTTTAAATTGTTGGTGAACTGACAGCAGTGAATCAGTTGTGTTGAATATTTGATTTGCAACATCTTCAGAAAGCAGATGTCCCCCATCTGTATTTGCTGATGCTTTTTCCAGAGCCAATTTGAATCCCTGTTTCATATAATTAAATTATGTTAATAAAGCAAAGTTGCCTTGAAACTTGCAAGTTGCGACACCGTTTAAACATCTGGTATTTCCATGAAATAGTCCTGATTTTGTAAATAAACTATTCGAGGTACTCCCCTAGTGTGTGTGCCAGGTTAGGGTAAGGCCATAAATTTATTCCAATTTTCCTCATTTTAGTTCTATTACGAGTTCGGGGACTGCTTGTGCTAGCCAAGTGAATATCCTACTGCCTATGGGCTTCAGTCCCTTGATGTAAAGTAGGCGAACAAAATTAGTTACCTCCATACAGGTACACATACTTCTGGAGCGCGCTATTCGATAATGATGATACTAAACTGGAGATGAGCAAACTATTTTGAATTTTGGGAAAATTATTAACAATCTATAATCAGTTATCTACCAGTACATACTCTCAAATTTATCCCAAGTTAATAGGCAAACAAGCATATTATACTAGATAAGATGTTGAAATTATATGGGTCCAAATGATCTTAGTAAACAGATAGTTTGGTTATGACAAGCTACTGAACTTACTTTGTCGATTACTTCCAAATCTTTTATATAACTCCTCTCAGTCACAAGAAATTCTTTTGCAATATAGTATGCTGTATCAGTAGGATGTTTTTGCTAAAAAAAAAGCAGACGTGGATGTCAATATATTCCAAATAATAGTATACAAAAGATAGAATCAGATTAGATATTTTTTATAACTCTTACAGCATAGTTACCCAATTTGACCCCTGAGTGATACTTGAAGTTGGAATTCAACAGAGACTCAGCCAAAACCGCACAAATGCACTACTCCAAATACATTAAAAAATATTTCCTGTTTTATTTATGGAATATTGATCATATTCTAAATTGGGTAAGTTCAAAACCAAAGTGAAGAAACATTGTATATTCAATGAGTTTAATTTGGAAAATTTAGGAGAATAAAGATGAACAGTAATTTGATTGGTTGATTGTTTTGAAAGAAGCTATTCAAAATTATTCTTAAAATCAAGAATTCGAAATAATGAAGCAAAATAATTTCGAATCGATTCGTTTTGTACACCCCTGCAGCGGGATCACCCCTATAATATAATTATAAACAAGGCCGCAAAGCATTCAACAAAAAAAAATACAAATTTTAAATTTCAATAAGCCCAAACCTATACCAGTTAGGGGCAAAACCAGAGATCCAATTTACGAAAAAAAATGAAAAATTTACCGAATCTCCAACAGAGGCCATTTTTAGTTCCCTGGTGCTTGTATCCACATTTTCTTCCGCTGTTGTTTTGATTGTTGATTGCTGTTCTTTTGCAGGTAGAGCAGGAGGAGTAGAAGCATCATCACTTGAATGTTGACCGCCTTTGCCAACAGAGTAACAACTATTATTTTTTACATCCATGAGAGAAATATATATAACTAACTAGCTTTCAGCTCAAAATACTCAAGTTAACTGGCAAGATTAAATTACCCATTATGTAAAATTCCCTTCGTATTTGATTTATTGTACATTGATTTTACCTGAATGTAGGTTGACTTTGGGTAACACTGATTCATTGTGTTGTTGCTGGGTAACTTCCACTTCTTTTTTCTCTGTGACATGAATTTAAATATGTTGTGAATATTTAAATCTAAATAAATGATGGCATAAGCTTGTCCTATTTTGAGGTTTTTAATTAAACAAAAAATTAAGCAGGAGATCTTTTACATCCTACCTATAGTTGTAACATGGCTTGACTTATCAAAAACGTGATACATAAGCTGGCATTGCACACCAATACCGACTGAACAAATAGATCCTGATATCTAGCCATGAAGCTTACTTATGATGGATGTTTCCGCAGCCCTTGACCACAGAAAATCTCTTTCTATACTTAACCATTGCAAAATTTTTGTGGCTTATTTAGTAAGATTGTTTTCAAGAATTGAAGCTGAAAATCTGGTATACTAGTTTCATAGCTATCATTTTGATCCCAAATATTCAACCATCTGCCATTTTTAACTAATTTTAGAAATCTTTTGTAGCTCTTTATGGACTAATTTTTGATTAAGTAACTCAACTAGCACTTCCCAGAATACAAAAAAATCATCGAGTTGTTTCAGAAACACAACTAAAACTAACAAATAGTTGTTAAAACCAGAAACAAGCCATTGCTTATAATGATCACTGAAAATCTGTCTCATTGAAAAAAGGTGTCTTGAGATTGAGAGGATACCACAATTTCAATTGTTAGATCTTCTTTGACTTCTTGCTGATTAGACAATGTCACAGGAAGCAGCATTGAAAATTATGCCCTGAAAAACATCCATTGAGGCTATTCGATTTCCTATAGGACCCACCTTTAAAATTTAATTTGTTCCAGTATGCCATTTTGGTAATTTATGCAAAAAATATTTGTCTAGTATTCATCAATATTTCATGAATTTATTGTTCATAATATACACTGGAAGCTGCATGCTGCAATGTCATGTCAAATTATACAGGTATCATTACACGTGTTCAAGAAGATATTCCCAATATTAGTATAGATTTTAGGTTTCTAATCGTATTTAATACTTATATTTTTAAAAATAATAATAACTTTGCTCGCAATCCATTATATTTTGTTGGAAATCAAATATATCAGTGAAGATTTATAATGTTTTCAAGTCTTTAATACTATCAAAAATAACAAATTTAAAATTTTAACTGCATACTATGGTACCTAACATATAAAGCGTGGACCTCCTATAGCCATCATATGTGCATTCACATATTAAAATTTGTGGAACTGTATGCTACATTGAACATACTTGGATTCATATTTAATTTCTGTAATAAATGATAACTTAGGAGGCATAACTATTTTATCGTCTTTTAGTGGATAGTGGATAAATTTATTGTTAGTTAACATTGGTCCATTCCCAGGGATTATTTTTTTCAAATTTAAATGCAGAAAATAGATTTGCGTAGCAAAATTGTTAAACAGTCCTTATGTTGACACCAATTGTTTCCATTCATCATCTACAAACCATTAGAACTATCACAAATACAAAGGATTCTTTACAGGTCGAGAAATAGGTCGAGAGGCCATAGTATTACCATTCTTTATCTACTTAGCCAATATAGCTGATAAGTAGAAATTTTTGCGAAAAATAATGATTAACTTAGTAAACTAAACCTAGCAGAGTTAATGAATTTTTCTACCGGCTTGTTACGAAGCTTTTCAAGATGTGTTCAAACAAATGTTTCTTTATACACATAACTTAAATCAACAGAAGGTGATATGTCCCATACTATTGAACAAGATTAAGTAAATGACATTTATGAATTTAATGAACAATACAGTATAAAGTTCAAATTGTATTTCCAATCATACTATGATTATACAAAGATGAAAACGAATTTGTGTAATCAAAATCAAATTATTCAAGAACATTTCAAAAAACTAAGATTCAAAAGTTTGAAATATTGTTGTGAAGAAAGCGATTTATTACATATTTGTCTGGGTTAGTTGCAAGAGATTTGTTACATTTGTCTGGGTTAGTTGAAAGAGATTTGTTACATTTGTCTGGGTTAGTTATAACTAGGTTCTAAAAGCCTTATGATGGTTCATATATTTTTGATTTGAATATCCCTAGCTCAACACAATTCTCTATCCCACCCTGTATTGATAACTGCCCAAAAGAGCTTTGTCGTACTTGATGTGAATTCCACAAAATCTTATGATGCCATTGTATTTGTTGCAATTTGCTATTGATTTTACTCCATAATATTTGCAACAATATAAAATGTTATATAAGCTTGTATCTTTAAATGAGGATGTATATGATAATTGAAATGCTTTGAACATGTTGAATTCAAGAGCTACAAAGTAATACTACATTTGTATCATTATATGTGTAATGATAAACAGCGGAGCTAATCCTATAATCAAAAATGTCCCAACTTGTCCAAATGTCCCAAATATACTTAACGCAATACCTGTACTTTATTTCAGAATTCAAAAATTTTTACTCAGTTGTTGAATAAACATGAAATATTGTTGTGAAAAAGAACTTATTTGTGAAATTTTTTCTTTTGTGATAATTTAGAATAGCTTATGCTCTGCTTCGATATAGCAAAGCTAATTGGATTTATTCCAGTAAAAATGCCTATCAAAAAGAAACAAATCAGTTTTTAAATTCAACAAAGATTTGTGTAATGAATAACCTATCCATATCAGACACTCTGCCTACAGAGATCATTTCAAGCAGAACACTATTTAAACTAATTTTTTCTCTGGTTTGCCAAGTAAGCATTACGTAATAGGGGATGCCTAATGCCTACATCGGGTTATTTAACAGAATTCAAGTCTACCGTATCGATCAGTCAAACGAGCAATCTGTGAAACTAAATGCAATTTGCTGTTGACATTTCACCTGTGTTTAAATGATGGGTGGTATTTGGGAATAAATAAATTTTTTTGTGCCAAGAGAAAACTTTAAATAACCTTGTCTGTTTGACATGATATTAATAACACCTATTTCAGCACTAATGAGACCCAAAACAACTCTTTCAAACAGCGGTTGTGTTGATAGTAAAAACATATTATCCACATTGCCATATCATCTTTCATAGTTTGTCTTCTCCATATTGTTTCTATTTCCTTCTACAAAAGCCATAAAACTAGCATGTTGTCAGGTCCCATATATTTTCTAATAATAAAAAAGTAGCTTAATTCCGGGGCAATAGCATGATTTAATGTTGATTCGACTTGATAAGGGCCTTCTGAATGGCCCTATTTTAGGTCATTTTAAATTCTGAGTACATATAGTAGAAAAACATTTTAACGTTTCAGCTTGGAATAGTTCATTAAATAAAACCTTTGTCAAATTATCATTAATACACTCAAATGTAAGTCCTCAACACTATTATTTAAGATTGTACAAAAATGCTGAGCACAATTTCTGACTGGATATATAAATTGAGATCAGCTGTCCTTAAAGATACTTTATTAGAATAAAAACCACTCAGCATCTCATAAAATATCAAGTCAATAGGCAAAAATTTCAGTTCTTCAATTATTTTATTTCCATTTCAAATAAAATTCATGCAAAACCAAACAAGAAAGAAAACTCACAAGTCACAATATAAAAAAACAAACAAAAAGGAAAAAAATTTGAAGTGATAACTTTACAATGTCTGGTGCACAATACAGTAGTTAGATTCGATTACGTAAAGGACTAAAATTAGCTTTTTTAGATGTGCCATAGTTGGTAGAGCATTTGAAACAAAACGTCTCATATATAATTAAATGAAAATAAGTCAATGGTGAACTCTTTAGAATTGAAAGATAGCATTGAATGACGACTGCCGAGGACAACGAGTGCTTTATATTAAATGGATTTTATAATTAGCAATTTTAATCTAATGAATTCTTAGTACATTAGTACTTCTTCAACCTCATAAATATTACAGAATAAACATGAAAAGATAATTTCACACTCTACCAGTGAAATATGACAAGTAAACGTGACTCAAAGGTAACACTTGATAGTACAACATCTGGATAATGTTTACTTTGCTAATTAAATTATTTCAACCACAAGCGAGAAATAAAGTTAGTAACAAACATACAAATTGTCTCATTCGAAGGTATATTCAAGAGATAAAATTACCAAGATGGAATCCAGACTACACATTCCTTTTGATATCAAATTTGAGTCAATTCAATTCATAAATGTTTGATTGAATTTGATTTTGTTTCGGATAGCCAATATATATATGAATTTAAATATTTTATGAGTGATCAGAAAATCAGACTACAACTTGAATTTTGTTTGAAAAAGCCAGTTCGCAATATATCTTATTGACCTGGTTTATCATATTTTAATCAGTTTTCCTTGTTTGTTTTTTTAACTTTATTCAATAAATCGGTAGAAGCCACCAAACTATACACCATCGTGTCAATAAATACCCTTCTGCAATTTCCAAAAGATGGGCAAATATGAGAATTCCTTCTATGAGGATTTATCCCTAGAAATAAGTATTATTGAATAAGCTACATCTGGCCAAATAAATTTGCAAACAATTCTGTTGAACAACAGAGGATGTCAATTTGAATGATTATTCAATTTTGGAAAAGATAAAAAACAGAGCACAGCTGATTAAATAAAGTCAAATATTTTCTATAATCTCAGTATTTGAAACGAGATTATATGTCAAACATAAAACCCATGTATATCATGCAAGAAAAATGTATGCATCAGTAACAACAGAGTTTGGTCAATTGGCACCTTTTATAATTAGTTAAAATCAATTACAAAGTACACAGTAGGCAAGCTTAAAATTTGGCATTCGTGAATAGTAGTAGTAACATATCTGTTATGTTGTATATTAAATTGCAATAAAACAAATATTAATAACGATTGAGTGGAATCTAATCGACACAAAAAAAATTTACACTTATAAAATAGTAAGTTTATAGAATTATACCCAGAATTTGTTCATGTAAGTCAGGAGTGGAGTATAAAAAATTTAAAATCAAGTACCGTACTATAAAAACACTTATTGTTACCTAAAAATAATCTCTTTATTTCAACTACAAATATCCTGAAATTTGTTTTAAAAAGATTTCAAAATGATGCCAGTCGAATAAAATGTTTTTAAAAGATTCAGAAAACCAAATTATATATTATTTTTTGCAAAATTTGAGGAAAATTCATTTGAGGAATAAATTTCGACACAAAATAAAGCAAAAAACAAATTATTCAAAATATGAATAAATTGTATGGTGAAATTCAAAAATACTTTACTATTTAGATATCGAAATCCCAAGTTTTACAATGAACAAAATCTGATAGATAATTGCAAGAGTTTGAAAAATGACAGTCATGTACAATCCTGAACCGCTTGTTTAATTTAAGTTTAAATATTTTATGAAATATGCATGCTATGCGAAGAAGCAACACCAATCACCAACAAAATGTAAGCTGGACTGATCTAGTAATATTGAGGGAAGCGGACAGTCTGGCTCTAAATAATCAGATTTTTTTCAATTTTCAATTTGATAAAATTGAATACTGATAAAGAATTTGATATGAAACTATATTGATAATAGACAGCTGTTTCAGATATGAAAAGTTTCAATCTTAGCTTATCTTAAACTGCTTGAGAAGGTAACATTTGTCCTGCTTGCCAATATATCTGATGGAATAAAGTAAAGAAATGTCAATCATGCAGTTTAGTTGTGAATTGATTTATTTTTGTTAGATTAAAAGTGATTGGTATCACACATACATGCATAAAAGCAATGGAACTGTAACGTTAATATTTTACTATGAAATGAGTTGATATGGTAAATGAATGGTACTAGCACAAAATTTTTAGTTCGTTTTAGGCTGTAGATCCAACATGCCAATGAAAATTCTTCCGTGCATTTAATAAAAACTGAATCATAGTAAGTTTATTATGCTTTTATTACTTTTTGCTTCAACGTGCATACAAGAATATATCATAAAATGAAAAAAGTTGAAATATGCAATATGGAAACAATTCAACAAATAGGCAGAAATAAGAAATTCAACACAGGCAACAGCAACTGTTGAAACGCCAATAAAAACGTACATTGATCTCTGCCAACTTAGCTCATGCTAATTTTATAGGTTTATATCAAACGCAAACAAACACTCAAGTTGTATCACAAGATAAGCAATATATTGCTTTAAATTCGAAGAAAAGAAATGAACGCTTCATATAAAAATAAAATTCAACATTCAAAAATATTTTTTCACAATGAAGTAAGTATCACTGAGTCAGTGTCATCAAATTCCATTTTGATTGGTGCTAACAATGGATCGTCCTCCGGTGATAACGGTACATTAACTTCAATACCACTTTCGATATCATACTCTTTTCCTTCTTCGTCTTCTGATGAAGATACTACTATCGCCTCACTGCCGTCAACACAGACTTCTTCTTTCTCATCTGTCTGCTTCTTGTTATTGTAATCATTCGCTTCATTTATTGCTTTATAAAGCTGTGTCATAGCTTCATTGATGTCTTTATCGAGAATCTGCGACGTTCGATTCCAACGAGGCGAATTAAACGATTCCCCGTCCGGTGGGGTTGGCGGTTTTTTCGGAACAGAATAATGGCCGGTTTTGATTTTTTGCTCGCCGATTCTGACCTTAATTTCTGGTGTCATGGGTGTGTCAACAGCGGCTAAATTCACCACACTATCGTTAACAAAAGGGTCTTTCGAATCACCCATGCCTTTAAATCCACTCGAGCTAACATACTCATCATCTAACTTAGTTTTGTGTTCTCTGTCAATATCTATTTCATTTAAATTATCGTAAGATCCCTCTCTCTCGTGGCTAAATTGTCTTTCTTTTGGTGGTAAAGGTGGACCGCTGTTCAGAGTAGTATAAGAATTGAGAGGATCAAAAGAAAGTGACTTTTTTGCAACAAAAAAGCTGTCATTATTGTTGGAAATGTTGGTGTTTGGGTTGCTTTGATCGCCTGCCGTAACGTCTCTTAAAAGCGCTTCAACGGAAGGTACATTACTGTCATTTTTTCTAGAGTTTTTATATAGAATTCTCATTCGTTCACGATAAGATAAATTAGAATTAAATGTTGATTTATCATTGTTTGTTAGTGGCGTAGAATCAGGCTCGTCATCATTACGTTCACCATTCATGTGTTCGTATTTTCTAAAGTTTGACAGATGACTGATTTTACCTTTAACTTCTGTGACTTCTTGAACATTTTCTTGTTCTCCGATTGGTGTGGCACTGCTATGTAAACTTTTACTCTCCATTTGCCACTCTGGCATTACAGATTTTTGATTGCTGTCAGGAGTTATGTCCGCAGTTGTCACACTTGCCTCTGTGTCTGGACCTGATGGAAAGAGTCAATTATTAAAATTATTACCACAGTAAGACATATAAATTCAATTTAATTTTTGCAATCAAATGGGTTGCAGAATTGTCCGAAATGAATCCAAATAATAAAATGAGTAGAAAGTAATTATATTCAATATTTCCTGAAATAATTTAAAAATAAGTTTCATTTGAAAAATTATTATTTTGAGCTGCTGGAATCTCATAATTTAACCAAAAATGCCTTCATTTTATTCCTGAAAACATTAAAAAAAACTGCGAAATAAACCATTATTCATATTAATTTTCATGTATTTCCAAATACTAACTCATTGAATACACATTGTCTTCTATTTTTCCTCCTAACCCAACCCAGTTTTAGAATCTTTTTGATGTTTCATATTTAAAATATTAAAGAATGTAGTAGAATAGGTGATAGGAAGCATAGCAAGTCATAGATAACACACTGAAAGCTAAAAACCAGTTAACAGTATAATATATACATACTTCTGAATGAGGAATCATTAACTCTGTAACTTCCTTGATCTTCAGTGTAAGTTGAACTTGATGGCGTTGTTACATTGCTATTTGTTGTATTGTTCTGTGTTGAAAAAAATATTTATATAACAAATACTGAAATTATCTCATTGATATACAAAAAAAAATTTTTTGTACTTTCCCTCTTTAAATATGACAAACTGATGGTTTAATGAAAAAGGTTGAGTAAATGGTTAAAAAAAATATTGTGACATTGTGTATATTTTCACGCTAAATCAACACTGGTCATTCTCAATATTATATAGATAGTCATAAGCAAATTAAGTAGCTTAAAAACGGCCAGCAAAAAGAAATTTGCACTGACAAACTATTTTCAAAGCCTATTATCCGTACTTGAGTAATTGTCATGTCTTGCAAGTTCAGTTCCGGTTTTGAATTTTTGGCTTCATTGACAGCACTTGCTTGAGTCGGAGCATAATGATGCGTCCTCCTACGGCTCGTTGTACGAACAAAATTAGTTCTTCGAAAATTGCTATTTCGTACTAACTCCAATAATTCCTTTTGAGTTTTACCACTGAAATAAAAGTTATAATCAATAAAAATAAGTGTACTGCTTTAGGAAGTATGATGAAACAAAACACAGCTTAAATGACAATGAATTGTAGCTCCCACGAGTTATTGAAAATCTAATTCAAAATGGAATAAACGAACAATATATAGAGAATTATGAAATTTAAAATAGTTCTGACAGAAAACATAAACTATTATGAATCATTCACTACACATTTATTCTCAAAATATTGTCGGCCAATTTAGCAGCTCTCTGCAAATATTCCCACATTTTAAACTATCAAGTGTTTAACTTCAAAAGAGGTAGTTCATTTAAAGGGTTACTTGTAATGAAATGAAGAGCCTCTCGACAAGAGCACAGGCTTAGGCTTCATCTTCGGTCGAACTTCTAGTCGAAAGAAAGCGTGATGTTCAATGCATAATTTCCAAAAGTTTTTGCAGGCGTCTCGGCTCTTCATTACAAATACTAGTATGTTCCCGTATCCTTTTCGCCCACTGGGTTGCTAAATATCCACATAATAGGTGAATGAAAATAGATTAAAAAACGAGACAAATATAAAAAAAAATTAAGGCATACATAAATAAAAAGAGAACAATATATATCCAAATCCGAATATCCAATTAAATTTATTTAATACAAAGTAGTTTTCTTTTTTCTAATAGTTCTTATTAATAGAATGAAAGTTAGTGCCTAATTGCTTATGTCCAGCTAATAGCCATTCCAAAGCACATGGCATGTCACAAACCAAAAAATATCCAGATATATCACAATAAAGAATGATCACAAAAAATATTGGCATAATACAGGATATAACGCATCATCAGTATTCCCCCAATAAGGAAATCCATTGATTTCCTTTACAGTATAGGAAAGTAATGAATTGCCTCAATTGCCTGATTGAGTAATATGAAGGAAAATATAAGACTTATTAACCTATATAATATTTAACTAATAATAAAATAAATCTGAAAGGAATGCTAGCATAATAGTCTTACCACTGGATCATTCAGCAGTTTTAAAAGAAATCGTTTTCTCTTGAAGCTCATTTTCCTCATTCTGGACCAATTGAAATTATTGATTCGCTTTATCCCCTGATAAATGATAGGCATTAAAATAGCAATTGGAATTGATTGTAACGGGATCTTGTAACATTATTAATCAGTAAAAATGTAGCCGAATTGTCAGTAGTGAATGACAAAATCAAGTTTGTTTACCTGGAATACAGTGACACCGGCATGAGAAACACCCAATTTTATTTCTGCGTTTTGAGCATCTAAAGCTGGATACAATCTTACGCCATACATTTCTAATCTTCGAGCAACATCTAAAAGACTGTAATCAGCTTCATCTGGTTTCTTTCCTCTGTAAACACAACTCAACATTTAACTCGACTATTCTACAGGTAAATTTATAGTGCCGAACAGCAATAGACACTCACATTAAATTCCTGTGGAGTTGAGAAATTTTTTGCAAATGCTGAGGTGTAGGATTGGGAAAGATTTTCATGTCGTTTAAGTACGAACCATCGGAACACTCTGCGGCATTCCAGTCCCCGAATTCCGCTAAAATAGAATTGTATAATCAATATTACATGTCCAATTGAAATGAACTCCCAGAAGTTGTAAGAGATAGTGAGTTGTGAACAAAAATACAAAGTGGCATTATTAAATATTACTATGGTGTTACCGGTATTCAAACTTGGGCAAAAGTCTTAGATTGTGTAAAAATTTTGCATGTATGTTTTTTTGTCAGATGAATTGATTCAGAAAGTAAGAGCAATACTACTAGTATTTACCAAAAAAATTCATGAATAAAAAAAATCATTGAAAAATATATAAAGTACTAAGTAATATATAAAATGTAAGAGTTTGTCATTACAAAGTCGAAAACTATTAGAATGACCAAATTTTATTTGCATCGATTTAGCATATTAAAAACAAAAATTCTAAAAATACCTTGTACTATATATGATGCAATCTCTAGGGCAGTGTTCTCCGCACATTGTAAAGTTCCGTTGTTCACATCTCGTTTGATTTGGAGAGCAAAGAGATATCGAGTATACTCATCTTGCATTTGACTCGGATCAGGTGTAAAAAACTTTACACCAAAACTAAGTACTGTGCTCTCAAGTTCTGAATAAGAAGTTCATATTCAAGTTGAGATTTAGAATTTATTTGGTAACACTTGTCATTAGGGTAGGCTATGTATTATATAAATACTACAAGTTTTGAAGATTGAGAGTATAGGTTCATACCATTGATATCAATTTTTGAGAGCAATCATAAATCCAAACTATGATCTGACTAAACTGACAATATGGAAGCTCCTCTAACAAAACTGTACACTGTTCAGCATTTCAATTATAGTGACCATATCATGCTAAAATATTTTATAAATTGATAATAATTCTTAACATATACATAAAATTCTAAGGAATGCCGTACTTCTAAAAATAAACAATTATTTTAACAGCAATTTACTTTTAATTTGTCTTCCAATTTCACGAAGCGGATCAAGAAATGTCAATCCATCACCATTATCATACGATGCACCAAAATAATCAGATTCCAGAACATCCAGGTCTTTCATAATGGCTTGCAATAGCACACTTCCACAACTCGATGGCTGCAAAATAGAAATAAAAATTGGAACTTTGTGTCAAATGTGATTGAAAATGTAATGAGCGTGATGGACTAGTGGTTAATTAAGAGCATTAAACTGTGTTGGAATAGCAGGTTTGGTTCTCTGGTTCAAATCACATGTACACTCAGGAGGTAATAAATAGGGTAGGCCTCGCCTGTCCAATGCCAAACCGTGAAAGTTCCGGTCCTACCAAAAATAATAGCTCAATAAGCGTCAAATTAAAATATTTACCATTGATCGCTTATCTGTAACGATAGATAATTTTAGTTTATCGCGTACTACATATTTTTCATATTAAAGTTACAAATTGAGTAACTATACTGTGATATATAGATCACAGTGATAATGTATTATGATATAATTCACCAAAATCAATTATTGTATTGATATTATTAAAGATTTTTTTAATAACAAGTTATACTGTAGATAATCGTTTGAGACGATCGTAGCAAATTCATTGCGGCCACCTCACCAATGTAAATACTGTTCCAATCAAAAAGACTTAAATTCCTACCAAACTGTGGCTGTTTCTACACAAGGATATATAGGCTAATATTTCTATTGCTTACCTTCACTTCATATGAGTTGATGGAATCATCCAGCATTTTCACCTGAATTGTTGTTGATGAAGGCATGCTTGTGGATGGAGTGCAGTACGATGTTGACAATAAATAAAAATTAAAATAAATAACAACTACACCATAACCGCTACTGTATTAAATTGAGGACTTCGATTAATTTAAGTTATGTTGTCTGAATAATAAATACACAAAAAATAGTGAATATTAATAAGTAGCCTACATTTTAAAGCCATGAACTAAAACTGTTGTTGATGCCGTTGGTATGAATTAAAAATAGCCTGGATGGTCCGCAGAAACCTAAATGATATACCTAATCCACAACAACATCAATGAATAGGGGATTAATGCGAATATTTTACACATCTCATAATACTGACAACTCGGATATATATATGTATAAAATGTAATTTTTAAGTAAGAATTTAAAATTCACATTTAGACATGACAGTAAGTAATATTATAATACTTCGCAAATGTAGTATCGCTATCATAATATAGTCAGTATAAATATAAAACAGTTGGAGCACAACAATTTAAAAGTTACAGTTTAATACAGAGTAGTTTACAATTTTCAAATAGTTCCCAATAGCAATGAAAATTAGTGCCTAATTGCTTATGTCCAGCTCATAGAGTCATAGATTTTTGGTCGTAATACATAAACAATGCCACCTTGGTTGTAAGGTTGCTCTCTTGACAACAGACTCCAATTAATTTTGAGTATATTCTAACCCAGTATTGTAACATAACCAACATTACGGAACTGTGCAGTTGAAAAATATAATTTAGTTTACGATATGACTACATGATTACAGAAAATTTCAGACGTATAGTCACAATATCTACTTGTCTACATGATAAAGAGTTGATAGTTTATTCAATGTCGCACAGCTACTAGCAGTGTAATAGTTCACGTAAAAAATTGAAGTCACTCATTTGAATTTTTTTTCTTTTGAGTCTGGGATTAATTTGTTTCTAGTAAAACTGCGCTCTTGGGTTGAACTTCTTTCTAATAAGTCTTATACTAATCTCTTCGAAATTTTCTTGGTGAGGAATGAAGAAATAATTATTCATTGCAACACTAACTAAAATAAACAAATGTATTGGAAAACACATAGTTTATTGATTTAAGCGCCTCAAGGCATAGATTATGTGGTTTAGGTTTTATTAGCACATCAGGAGAGTACACAAAAATATAATATTAAACAACTGAAATCTAGAGAGTTTTTTTCGGTCTAGCAATCGACACAGCAATAATGGCAAATTGAAGTTACATATTTTTTAATATTTATTATGGTTGTAATTATTCCCTTATTAAAATTAACGTTTTTGATAACATCATTGTAACGTTAAGGCAAATTTTACAAGATGTCATATAATAATGTAATACTAGAAGATTATCTGAAACAGCATGATCTGGTATCATATCTCGTCTAGGTTGTAAACCTAATGATGTTTGATGATTAGACTGAGCAGAAATAGTAAATAAGTATATACAGATATACCAAAAAATATTTGATTGATAAACAATTTCAGAATTTGTGTCTAATGCCTACTCACAGACTCAACTAGTTTAAAAGGATTGAAATTAAGTCCGTGACACAAGCATAGTGTATGTAGGCCTATGATACTGTGATAACATCAGAACACAGGAACATACTGACATAGTGTTACAAAATGTTAAATATTTGCGTGTAAGCAAATATTCCCCTTGGGACCGTGTAATGACTTTGATTGCCTATGCCAGTAGCCTATGCTCCTATGGTAGCGGAGTAAGGCATTTGTTACATTCTGGTCATTGAAACTCATAAAAATGCTGCATTTCGATGGTTCGCATAGAATTTCTGCATGTTCTGAGTGATAACAGGATAAATGATAGCCATAAAACTGTAACTGTTTAGGCTATTTCATATTCTGATATTACAGTATTATGGAGCAAATACCGCAATAGTTATCACTTAAAATGGCTAACACTGTAATAGTAATTTTGGGCAGTCTGGTGAAAAAAGTCACTAATTTCAGAATTCACAAGGATCTACAAACCTAAAAATTAAATATATTACTGAATCTGTATAAACTGGTCTACTACCAGACTACACTAACAGACTGAGTTACAGATGATGTTTGAATGTTGCCTGTGGTATGAAAAAAGCCATAAAATGTCTCCTAATGCCTGAATGCTGTAATGTCTATTGCAGTATTGGCACTCTGGCCAAACTGCTTATTCACCTTTCTTTTCACAAGAACTAAGAGTGGTTGCGGACTTCGTTCTTGCATTTGCAATACCGTAGCCTACCGTACCTAAATTCATTTTTCAAGTTAACGTCAACACTTGCTAATAGATAATTCGTGTTTTACACTCGCCCTGAAACTGTAAAATAAATTCATTTAATCACGCACACATAAGATTGTAAGACCAACCACGACGCCACTACGACGGAAAAGCCGCCGGAAACAGTAAAAGTAAAATCGCACAGCCTCGATTACCAGTAGCGTAAAGAGGACATCGTGCCCGAGGGTGTGATAAAGAGAAAGAGGGAGCTGTTCATAGCGGGGGCGTTGTCACTTCTTCTTTTATCTTTCAATTATCACACGTTCGCTTTGTCTGAAAAATGCCGATGCGGCCGTCGGGTGACAACTCGCGGCGGTTTATGTAGAACTTCTGCCCAGAATTGAAAAATTCCCGTATGGAAATCTGAACCGACGAAGTGAAGAGTGTTCTTGTTGGACACGTCAGTGGACATAACGATCGTTTTGCATTTTATGCTGGCACTCTTCCTCTCTTTGTTGTTCTTGTTCTTTGACACGTTTTTTAAAAAGTCGCTTTTCTCTTTGATTACTGGACAAATCGCTCTGAAATTCTCAGTGGTTGAAAATAAAATTATTCTTCAAAAGGCTATTACTTTCATTCATTTCAAACGTGTCCATATATTTGAGCATAGCTCTCTTGTTTTATTTTTCATTGTTTTAGGCTAAGCAAATACAAAGTATTCATATGGATCATTTTGCTCAACCGTCGTTGCATAATAGTTGTTGTTGCTTAGTAGCATATCGCTATCAAGCCTGCCTATAACAGTTTTATATTGTATAAAAAAAAACACCAGCCCGGGTGATCTCGCATGTATGTCTTGGAGACATGGACGAGTCAGCCTTCGCACTATCATTGGTCATTGTCTTTCAGTTCGGAGCAGACGATAAAGAGACTTGCTTGCTATGATTATGGCTGGCCCCAACGTTATCATGTCGGAAATGTGATATATAATTCCACGGCGAGAATGGTATGGGTCTTCTTCTAGTTCTTTTATTTATACTAAGTCGACAATTTACCAAAATATTTGCATGAATGGCCTTGTCCAAATAAATGCATTTTTTATACACCAAAAAGCTGTATTGTTTTGATGATCCAACCCGTGCTTCTGATTATATAGCACTAGAATGTGTATGTTATAATGGAACTCCACCCTTGTTCAAATTCATGTTCATGCATTAACATGAACATTCTGTATTAACTTACCTTCACTCATAAGTATACAAGTTACCCAGATAAATCGTATCTTAGACTAGAGTACCTGGGCTCCACTGAGCAGTTTATATTTTTTGAAATTAAAATTCAATACCGACTGAAAAATCCGACTCGCGAATTCGGTTAGTTGAAAGAACCGTGTACCATAGTTTCGCTTTGATAATGAAAAATGGTGAAAATATGTAAATATTGTATATAGTAAACAAACATGAGAGGTATTAATAGATTGACACCGAACCTGGTATTTATTTTTTATGCTTATTTAATTGAATTGGGTGGCAACTGACTCTGATGACCTCCAAAGGTCGTATCGTTGATTCCCAGTCATGTACCGGAAACATCTGTTTATTTATTTTGTATATATATATATGTATGTATGTATATATTGTTTTCTTTGTTTGACAAAATGAAATAACCCTCTCTCTTTCTCTTCGGCAAATTCTCTGGCACACGATATATATAACAAAAATCATAAATATTTTGAAGGCATATCGACCAAGGATTTCTCTCTGTGAAAATTCTTTGCACCCATTGTTTATTATGTCATATATTAGCTATAAAACAGAAACACATTTCACACTCTTGTTATCCAACACATTGGTTTAGATATATCTTTATCTTTTGCACGGTATACAAGAAACGTCACGGTATATGAGTAGAATTGACTTAGTGTGGTATTACCCTACAACATAAATATGCGATATAAAGGAACTATGCATTTACGCAATCCCGCAGAAACAACGTAATTCGTTAGTAACCCTGAAAGTTGTAGCACCTTCGTATACCTGTGTACATTTTCATCCACACATATATATGAATGGTTGGAACGAAACCCCCACAATACCTTTTTTTTGCACCTCAGAGCGCTTGGAAATATATCTTAAGCAGGCGACGATTAGTATTAATTAGGGACAATAGCAATATTCTCAAAATTATTGTGTGAGATTTTGACAATTTTTAACACAGTCCAATAAATAAATAGGTACCACTTGTAACATAGAAAATGCACTGGAAGCTAGAGACCTGACCATTTGTATCCTTTATTATGATGACGGAAGTTGGAAAAATGAAGACAAAGAAACAAAGGCCCATTGTCCATAAGCTATGTTCGGGAGAAATTACATTAACGATTTCCATGAATTATAGATACATCTTTTGTGTTATTTTTCATTCATTTTTTTCTGAAAATCGTCTGTTATATATATATATATATATACTCGAAGTGGTCATTAACTACATGTAATGTTATAAAAGTGTCTAGATCTGTCAACACACGGCACAGCCAGCCTGCTATTCCAGCTGGACAATAAGATTCAAGATATGGATTATAAAACATCATTTTATTTGGTAAGTAGGTTTTTGTTCCTGCTGAAAATTTAAACGTATTTGTGTATTTCGAATTTAAGTTTTTGTTAGTTGATTTGATTGAGTATAAGAAATTAATTTCGCTATCTGATAAATTATTTGTTAATACTCATAAACACTTCGCAAACAAGTATGTTACACCTAAGCCATTTAATATTCGCCGATGCCAATTATCTATTATCTGATGGCTTTTGACAAAAATATTCAACACCCACTTACGGAATTCATTGTCATGTATTATAATATATAGAATTGAAAATTTAGTAAAACTTGATAGCTTTGTCTAGATTAAAATTTGAAAGACCAAAATCCACTAAGAAGTCAAACTATCAATATTTTTGAGTAGTTTTTTCATTTCAGCCAATTTGCCTATCATATTCATTAATATAGTAAGCGTATTATATCTGATAATATGATTGGGTGCCTCAATTTATAGACTCACTGCATAGCTCATTGGTACAAATCAGTGATTCCGTCAATACAATAAAGACGTTCTCGTCTGTCAACGAAATCTCTAGGTTCCCACATGAACTTCCACTTCGTAGACGCACTCAAATTCGAAGTCAGCGTCTATTATCTACTGACATATATATTACAAGCAAAAGTCTCTATTAGCTCAGTCTAAAGTCGAAATGCTCACATCTTTTCTATCGGTAGTCTTTCTGGTTTTACTGGAGGGTTCGTGATTTTTATACTTGTAAATGTACATGTTCCAAATTTAATTAGGAAAGAGTTTCAAGGTTAGTTTCGTTGGTAGAATCTACAAACAGATAACCTTCTTTCTCATAACGATTAATGTCTCCATCAACAATAAAAAGAGTGCAAGTAGGTATATAACCACTCTGTATGTCATTGTATACTCCTCTACGCCTTAGTGAATGCTCGATAAGATCGCATTTGCTAGAATTCAGTATTTTCAATCTATGGGTCACGATTCAAAACTCAGTCGTCTGAAAATCTGCTTGGGTACCTTGTTTTTTTAACAAAAGCTCAACAGTTCATGGTTTTATTTTCGGGTGAATTTCATTGTTTAAGCTATATTTCGTATTGTAGTGTTTCTTAGTAGTAATTGCGTACCTGGGAAATATCACAGTTCAATGTTATATTTCGGCAGCAGCAGCTAATTTGATTAACTAAATAAACCCAACCCACTGATGGGAAACAAGCGCAGCTTTCTCAGTAGTGCAACTTTGAATCAAATTTCTGTTGAAATATTTCATTTAATTTTGCGGGTATAAAAGCAATACGTGGCATTTTGTGTGAGAGTATATCATTGAGTCGCGAGATTATACTAAATTTATTCTATATAAAATTTGGGTCGCCTGATAAAAAGATTGCGAACCACTGCGCCAGATAACATCTCATTAAATATTATAAGTAATAAAGTGCAGTACATATTTTGTAAATGCGAGGGCGCACCCCTCGGCTATGTTATCTCGACTGATTTGTGCCTATCAAGTTATTTATACTGATTTATTTTCAGTCAATTATTTTGGGGTTTTCTCTGATCATGAAAGGGCGATGCACCCATACCTACGGTAAGTTGCAATCTATTTCTTCATATTTAAAACTTTGAACATTCAGTACAAAACATTCTTCAAAACAACAGTATTGAATTGGAGATACGTTTGCTAATATAGGTATATCTCGATATGTCGTAGTACTGCACAAGAATTTGAAAAATGTCAAAATATCGGAAAATATGCAAACTGATATATAGCTTTTATGTGCAGGATGTGAGACATTCAAAATGTTTTATTGTGTGAATGTATGTTGATATTTATGTTATTTGCAGCCTACATATTTTATGGAAAATATCCAGATGGAGAATTTGATCACAATGTTTTTGGAGCATATAAACCATGCAGTGATCAAATGGATTATTGCCATATATTACCTATTCGAGGAAACATCACGTATTCACCTTTACGATCTGCGGCGAAGTCGATATATTATCCTGATGAATGGCCCAACACCATAGCTTTGGTAAGCCTTTGAGCGATGTGATAGTGATACCTCACCTAAAACAGAGTAAATAATGTTATTGAACTATTCCTAATGACCAAGTACTGTAAATATGGCTTAGCTGTGATAATTGACGTAAATATTGCATTACTAATTTTCTCATTACGCTGTCCTTATATGTTCAAACTGTTGTCCAGTGCAAATTATTCTTTTAATGGACCACGTCTGCATTGATATACAGTATATCACTGCAGCACTGAGTACCGTTACCGGTACCTACCACGTTACCGTATCTCGTTTAATTTAATTTTAGCGTCACAGATATTCCGTCTTCCTATTTAATGCTACAAGATTTTATTACCTGTTTTCTTCGCTTTCAATATCCACCGCGTCTAATTGAATGCCAGTGTTACGCCTTCAGAATCTGACGTTTATTACCGACTGTTAGACAATGCGCATCACAATAGTATTGTTGTGACACAGTCCATTAATGCCATCTCCGTGGTTACCAAGTTAGTGGTGTTCAGAGTCGTGTTTTATTGAAGTGAGCGACTGTTGATTATAGCAGATTGCCTCGAGATATTGTATGCATTTTATTTTCCAATTTACTTACACTTGATTCGACTTTTTCTTTCTTATAATATAGTGTCCAGAGTTATTTTATAGGTGCCGCTGCTCGATAACCACCACTGATTTCCCGCGTCCTTTTCATCCTGTAATATGGCCTATTTATAATTCATTGCCATTTGCATGTTTGCGCCCATTTAAACTATGGTTATATAAAAAACTACTTATTACTGAGTGTTCGCAATCAGGCTATCTCTAGCCAATGTATACAACACGTATCAGCATTTCAGACCTTTATCTACCTGATTAATTAGGGAATACCCTATACGAGTTATCCGGTAGGATGGGATTTTCAAACCTGTACCGGTGCATTTTATTCTTAAAACATAACTTCCGAGTTTCCAAATTAAATTAGATGACGAATCTTGGGTGTCGCTGCTCGATAACCAAATTTGGTTCCCCGCGGCTTCCCTTCCCCAGTAGAATTATGTGTTAAATTTTGTTTATCTTTTGATTTTGTATGTTATTTTTTTGCCGGTTGGAAAAAATAAAATTGACTATGACTATGATATCTTACCACCTCCATAACAAAAAAATTACAATCCAGCAATCGTCATTAATCCAGTTTATTTGAAGATACGCTGTCACTGTAATACTTCACATGCTGTTTCCAACATCTCTCTCCTAAATGATGTAACAATGATTATTTATTGTAGTTAATGACAATTTTTGTGAGTAATATGCAAATACCCAATTTGACAGCAATATTCAGGCTATCCTTGGATACTTCTTGATGTCAACAAAAAACAGATTGAAGTTGGCGATATGACCTACACTTTTGAAGGTGAGAAATTCAATTCCTACTTACAATTCTAATAAAATAACAATAAATTTTAACGCCGGTGTTGATTCGACTTACGTATATATATATATGACTAAGGAATAATGAATGACTGGGCGGCTATTAGCCTTCTTAGTCCTTGAAACGTCCGCACTAGGCGGGGTCGCAATTCCGAAGTCTCAATGACCTACAAAGGTCTTGCATACACAACTCAATGTTTAAATAATTCACTGCATTGTATTTTCGATAAAAATTAATGTCTGTTCTTTTTATTTAACTTTGTTTTGTGGAAATAAAATCTATCTCTCTCATTGTCGCGGGGGTCAAAACACACCGGGAATTTTAGCCCAAAATTCTTGTAATGGGTAAACATTCTGTTTATATCCAATCTTCTTCATTTCAATTTTCTATCCATGACTTATTTTAACATTCATGTGGAACATTGCGCCAAATTAAGAAGACATGCCCAATATTGTCCCAATGTTTTTTATTCTGATTTGATTGTTCCGGGTTGTAACCTAAGCGCATAGTTTAAATCCTACATAATAATTTGCTCACACACTTGATTATTTTGTCTATTGTTCGTTTCGTTGCTATTTTTGTGAGTGAGATATCCAATATGGCATGCAACGACGTTGTCGCATCTGCCTTCCTGCTTTTGGAATCACACACATAGTACTGGTTTTTTGGTTGGCTTATTATGTCAACTACCAAAGTTTATCTTCAATCAGTTTCAGTAACTACTTGAAATATTTATTTCAGATTACAGCCCAATGTGGTACATTGATTCATATTATCATTTCTCCAATGTCAAAATGAGCCACATAGATGCGCAAAGATATTGTGAAGGTCTGGACGGATATCTCGTTGTCCCGAAACACGGTCCTTTGAATCAGTGGATCAATGGCAAAGTTTCGGGATCAATGTGGTCAGGTATGCAACAGGAAAGGGATTAGTAAGTTATTTAGATATGATGTCTGGGAGCTCTCGTTGATTCTTGCTGTTCATCATAATAAACGCCAACTCAAAAGCAAGTAAAAATAACTGTATTTCATCCAAAATACTCAAACAAAATAATTTAGCAACGAAGGTATATTAGAGACAAAATAAAACAATATTCAAATAATAAATATTACATTAAGGTATCAAATATATTAATGAAACATGGATGTATCACGTCGGACAAGGCAAAGGTATTTGGTTCAATGAGGCAGAATTCATCAAAAGCAATGTACTTGCTCCCGGGGGAGATGGAAGTTGCATGCTAATTTCAATGGGAAGTATGAAATGGTCAAGCGAAAGTTGCAGCAAAAAATTGTCTGTAGTCTGCAGAATACGTGAGTATTAAGAACCGTTCTTGAAATGGAAAGATGAGAGGTGTGAAGTTACAAGTTTCATGACCTGTTATCAGCTAAATCTTTTCAGACGAACATCTGAGATACGGACACACAATGATGGTAGTTTATGAGAAATACCGAAATCACACAGAAGCTTCAAAAGTTTGCACTGATGCCTATGAGTTTCTCGTGAGACCGGACTCCGCCAAAAAACTGAAATGGCTATCGAGCATAATAAAATTTTATCAGCATTCTGGACTATTCTTGATAGGTAATACTATTATATAAGTCAATATAACTGTCCTATAGAACTATAAAGACTTAATGAGAAAATGTAAGAATAAGAGATGAATACTGTGATGATTTCCCTCATTGATTGAATTACATTTTTATTGTTGATTAAAATTTGTTCAGGTTATAATCACTACACTGTACGAAATTGCTCTGACATTCATCTGAATATCTGTGAATATTTTCTGCATTGAATACTTAGCAAACATATATTTATCATCTCGAGTAGACTATGCTAGAAACATTATGCTTTATTATAGATGTTATTAAATTTCGACATTTTTTTGACAAAGGGGATCGATCATCCACGTATTGTGTATATACTTCGACATTGTTATGTTATTATGTCGATTGTTGCTATGTTATATTTTGTACTTCAAACATATAATTATCAAAAGATAACAGGTACATCTATCTATACATTGTAAGTTTTCAATGTTTGTAGGAGAGTAGATAAAGAAGTACGGTTATTCATAATTTGTTCCTACATCCTAAAAAAGTACGGACAAATAGTTATATGAATGTATATATAATAATATATTAATATTTTATGAACCAATAGATGCCCTATACAATATGGAAACAGAAGTTTATGAATCCACTCAAGGAGATGTTATTCTTGAAGAAATGTGGGCACCAGGACAACCAAACACTTCACTTCACTGTGTTGTTATGAATGTAAATGGAAAGTTATTATCATTCGACTGTGATGATGGTTATAATGCACAATTCATTTGTGAATACAAGCATATAAGTAAGCCAATATACCTTTTCTATCACCGTTTTCTTAATTTAAATAATGTTTTGCTTCACATCTTTAATTTAATTTGGCTGCTTGGCTATAAAACATCTGTGTTTTAAACAAAAAACCTATAGATTATTAAAGTGGCCCAAACCCAAAACCGCGGGTCACATGGGGCCCGCTGTATCATTGTCTGTGACCAGCCTCCCATATGCTGATGTACGTCCAAATTGATGATAAATGTTTCTTCATAAAATAAACGAAAAGATCTTTTAACACGCTAACAAATGTGATTTTGTTTGGGTAATTGAATAGTATGCTTGCCTAAACTGGTCCAAAAGTCAGTTATTCGATTTTGGCGCCCTTGAATGACTTAATTGATTGTATCTCTTCCTTCGGAAGTAGCGTCTACACAAATAATATACCTAGTACTAAAATATAAGAGTGAAATGGGTGAAAATTTTGATCAACTATCAAAATAAAAACATGGTAGAAGGGCCCTTACTTTAAACTGCATATCCTCAGTGTGGTAAATGGTCTATGCCAAACTGGAGATAAGCTGGTCTTCTCAAAAACATAGTACAGTAGCACATTCTTCTTATGTGTCAATGACTTATTGTTCAGGATGTTTTGCAACGTTGTGTTTCGAAGCCTTTTATACATAAATATAAAATACTATATATTTATTATTACAGAAGATAATTTTGTCGCCGTCGTTGACAACAAGCGATATTACTGGCATAATGATACTACATTTCAATCTGTTGCTAGTACCAAGTGCGAAAGTGATGAAGGAGGAAGTCTTGCTGAGGCATCACAATTGTGGCAAATCATGACGTTGGTATCAACATATGCAACAGATTATGCCACAAATAAGGTTAGAGAGTGCAGAGTCATACATGTGTTGCATTACAATGTTCATTATAATGTTCATTTTGACCTATGCAACGTTTCGCTTAGCTGATTAGCTCAGCTGAGAGTCGGACAAAAAGTCAAGTGCGTGTCAGAATTTAGTCTTCTTAGGTTTATGAGAGTCCCATCCATATCTCTATCCAATTTTACATTAAGCTTTCAATGTTGATGATAAAATGTATTTTACTGAACTTACACTTAACTGTTATTTCATGACAGACGTTTTGGTTGATGTTAGCCGGCGGATATAATATTCAAAACGGCATGGTTGTTGCAAATGATAACCGACCAAATGACATGTGCCCTACGTTTCGAACGCTTCATATCCCAACATTTGAATGGAAAAATTGTAATACAATACATCATTATTTGTGCAGGAAAGGTAAACTGATTTTCTAAACTTTCAGTATCTCTTATTGAAATTGAATTCGTTTTGATACCTGCATGTATACGTGTTGTCCGTTTTACTAAAATCTATCATTTTATCAGAAAGAGTAGTTTTTTTTTATTAAAATATCAATATATATATATATGATCTTATAAATAATTCATTCAATGACATCTTGAAAATCCCTTTATGTTATAGAATACAAAGAAGTAATTCCCGATGAAGACCAGAGTCTTTGTCCTCCTGGTTTTATGAGAGCAGAGGAAAGCACATGTTTGCGGGCATATCACGAAACAGTGGAATGGCATGTAGCGAAGACAGTATGTGAAGCAGATACCGAGCAACGTGGATCCTTAGTAAAATTTCAACACAATCATCCTCAATCTATCCCCGTGTTATATTTCATGAAATCACAAGCAAATACGGCTGATGAACAATTTTGGGTTGGCATGTGTGGTCAGTGTTTATCTAGTTTATGCTATGTTTTATCGCATAATAACGCCAATTAAAATTTACTTGAACTGCTTTTTATGCACTAACTTTGAAGGGTCAGAAAGCAGAGGGACATACCTATTTTGGACATCAAAAAACGCGACATCCGACGATATAACGACACCATACTATGCAATTAAAGGAGAGTGCCTTGCCGTGAGTCCGCTGAATGCAGATATCAATAAATACAACACGTTGTGGAGGTTGTATAATTTCGGTTTCGTGTGCCAGCAGGAAGCTATTATGGTATATGTTTTTTGGTGTTTTCAATTCCATCGTTTTTTTAAACTAGAGTTGTACTTAATGTACATTCGCTTGCAGTTTGGAAATACGCTTTTTGAAACAGTCCGAAGATTCTGGTGGATGTTGTAGGCCTATTGTTCTTCTCGGACCTCGGAATGTGTTTTGCTGTTTGACAAAAATTTAAAAAATGTCCGCCATATCATTGCAGATATCAATTTACATTTATAAGGTGTCTAGCATCCCACTGACTCAGGCCCAAACAGAAAAAGACAAAATGACGTTCTTTTGACATTTTAAAGTTTACAGTAATATTAGGTGAAATAATTTCTCTGGAAACTTGCTGACGTTAATGGCACAAAACAGCAGAACATTTGTATTGATCCTTGTAAATATAGTAACGTTACAAGTTATGGACGAGCCAATCTGAATATACAAAACCATATTTGAAGCAAATTTCAGTGTTCTATCACACCCAGACCCAGCAGGCTGACTGACAATCGTTTAAAAAGTTGACATAATTCGTACGATCAGGTTTTTTTAATGTCAAACAATAAAACATTTATGTTGGTTTTAATAATATAGCATGTGAATATGATTTACAAAAGCTACAATACCCCGACAAGAGGCGTGTTGTTTCTAATGTCTTAATATGTAATTATTGTTTGATATATCTTCATTTCGTTTTTTTTTCATGAAATAAAGATATCGGAATACAATACATTGAACTTAACGGAAGAATCTCATTTATATGAAATGAAAGCATTTTTTGGAGATGTTGAGTTCTGTCCAGAGTCATACATGAGTTTTGGAGATCATTGCCTGAAATTTCCAAATCCTACTAAAGTCACATTCGAAGAAGCTCAAAATTGGTGTTACGACAGCAGTCATCCTTCGTCTATTGCTGTTGACGATTCGGAAATCAAGCATTCAGTCATGTCCAAGCTGGCACATGCATTGAACTTCACTGTTGCTGAAACGTATAACTTTATTTCTATATATGTACATAAATACAATTACTCATTACACATATACAAATGACACAACTTTTCACTTACAATTGGTTGTTTTCCAAACCGTCACCAAACCTAAATAGCACCTAGGACTTAGGACTAGGTCATGATCACTGCACTTAAACATTTCGGAAAATAATATCACCATTAAGTTGTTTGATTTATACCTAAATTTCGGAATCACGACTAGCTAAATCACAGAAATACTGTAATTTTCCCAACCATGCATGAAATTTGCTTGAGTGAAAAATTTCTTTGAGCGGCCTCTGAAATATCAATTTCCCCGTAACCTATGCAAATGCTGAACATAAGTAACGAAGGGAATAGGCCGCGAGACGAGGCCGTTTATCTTTCAGTTTCGTAGCGCACATAAGGGAACTACCTGAAAATGATTTTAAAATGTTCCTTAGAAATTCAGTAGCAAATAATGACTTGTTCCCATTTCCGAAAGTTGCGCGTTTTACGGAAAAGCTGCTTTTACTACAAAAAATATGCGCCACGATCTGTCCTGTATTCTCTGCTTTTCCGGTATCACGGGCCAATGAACACAGACTTCTGCATGATGTAACAATTACAACTGGTCAGCTGTAGGTGGATCCCCCGTGGTCGAATGAATATCAGATGGCGTATTTGATTCAGAAAACAATGGCTGTTTCTGTAATGCACATTTGTGTGAAAGATGGGAGAATAATCAATTTTACTGATGTTAGTTGGTCTAAATTCATAGAGTCGACAAGAACCTGGGAAGCAATGATAAGTTATGCCGAAGTTGAAAGAAAGTAGCCATAGGGCATTTCAGATTGTGATATACAGAGATTCAGTGTAGATATAGTCTGGTATTCAGGACTGTAGTACATCAGATAAAATGTCGTATGTATGAGGAGTATTAGTCAGTATTTAGTGGTATTTTTACACTCATGCTGTTCTAAATATGTTTTTCTTCCTCATTTTAGATACTTTACTACGAAAGAAAACGACAATGTTCCACCAATCCAACCTAACACAGGCTATAATCCCTGCTGCTATCAGCGCTATACCTGTAAGAATAAAATGGATCAAACAAGAAGTCTTAAAGAAAAGTGTAAAGGTATATGAGATGACAACAGTTGTAAACAGCTTAGATGGGCTATTCATATTGAAATACTTTGGCTTTCTTCTGCACTTGAAACCGCTCATCTCGTAAAACTGATGTTGGAGGACTCGAAATTCATTGAGTTTTTTCTCAACTATGAAGATATTTTGAAGTTAACGAGGCATTAATAAATAAATCTGAAGAATTTGTTTGTTCACTGTATGAAGAGGATATGAAGAATGTAAATGATACCAGGGCACGTCTTTTCAAAACTGGCAAACATATGGATTATACTCTTTCGCCCAACGATGATTCACTAGAGAAGCATGTTCTGAGGGTAAATTACCAGGCAGGGCTTCTTCACTATTGCCTAGAAAGAACCAAGGCCAAGTATTCCCCCGCGTATGGCCATGGATGGGTTCTTGGTGATGGTGTTTTGCGAGTTCAATTGATGGATCTACTTCCAGCCCTCAAAGCAGTTCTTGAGTTGGCAAACTGCAACTGTGAGGCAAATAGGCGATAAAATATTTTATGCATGTGTGCTGAAAACAATCTAAATTGCACAGACTGCAAAAACCACTTATACACTTACAGAGGAAAATTCGATTTTCAAGACTGAGGATTTTGGAAGCAATTCAGAAAAAGTGAATTAGATATTGAAGTTGATTTAATAAATATTATTTATTAGTTTTGTTCAGACATATGTTAGTGTCGAAAGTCCTGTTGCTTAAAAGGAATATAATTCCGGCCTGGTTTTTAGACACTATCTGGCGAATTCTTGAATGATTGTCTTCAAAATAGAAAAATGTTAATATTTAATTTTTTTCTTTTTATTTCAATACAGGTATTGGATAAGCTTGCGACCATCGTACAGTGAAAATTTTATTCACACTGACTTGTTTGAACCGAGTCCAATAAATCACTGGGAAAATGATGATTGGAAGGATAATGGATATGTAGTATTAAAAATTCCTGATAAATGGGAAAAGCTGTCTTCTAAACAATCAAGGTGGTACTTCTGCCAATCAAAGCAATGTTTCCGGAATCATCCATCAAGTTATTCAGGAACTGTATGTATTTATGTTGCACAGCGAATTATCGTATATGTATACATGGCTTATACAAAAAGAATTATTATGATGACTTAATGAGACATTCGAGATTCTTTAAATAAATTGTTTTTAAATATTTTTCCTTGTCTATTCCTGACACAACTTGAGCTTATAAGATTTCTAGTCGTTCTTTATGTGTCATTGCATTCCCGGAGTGTAGTGTGACGACAGCACTATGTGTTAAACGGGGTTTCCCAAGTTTTTTCTCAGGACGACCCACAGACAAGTATGTTTAAGTGCCCAGTACGACTAATATATATATTTCACTGAATTTCAGATTTTGTCCATGTGCTGGAATTTAGTAAATTAAAAGAGAAAATTTAAACTTTCTGTTTTATTTAAAAATAACGAAATGACAAAATAAAATTTTAGTTTGGAAGATTATAAAAATTCTTCAATTAAAAATGATCTTTGCTCGATAAATTTCCTGTATTTGCGGATTAGGATGTCAGGAACCAAAGAATTTTCCAAGTTAACGTTTGTTGTAGGGCTGTGATAATAATTTTTAATAACCACAATGAATAAGAATCTTCAAATTTTTCTTATGCTTAAATTTTCATAACAATATAATTGCCATTATACGCTATTTTTATCGAAAACGCGGAAAAGCCTAATATAGCTTTTCACTGCTATTTGAACTTTGAATTAAATACGGGTGTACTAATGTACTTAAAGATTGTCTGTGAACACAAACAATTCAAATTGCAAATCTACTACAAGCGATTTCATTGTTAACAATCAAATAGTGATGCCACATTAACCACCTATACGTTCAAAAGCACAAATTTAAAGCAATGCTCGTATGCCTTTTCACAGTAAGCATTGGTACAAACAAATCAATGTAAACCTCGACGATCCTAGGCCTATAACCTGTGTGCGACCCCACCTAATTATCACTCAGACCCAATTTGGTGTCGCAACCCCTGGTTCGAGAACCCCTGTGATAAATACTGATTTACCATGCTCTGTCTTCATTTTTCAACTGATCTGTTTAATCAGGACTTTTATTTGCAATGTATTTGTACATTTGTGTCGTTCTCAACAAAAATCTTATTTTCAGATGAATATCACCCGTAACGGATTCCAATGCCAGGCCTGGGCGTCGCAATCGCCTCATTGGCATAATGTGTCTGTTGAGCAGAATCCTGAAATCTGGAAAGAAAACTACTGTAGAGATGATGGTCAATATGCTGGCCCTTGGTGTTACACAACGTCTCATTTTATGAGGTATATGACCTATTTTCTAGGTAACTCGTTCTAGCTTTGGATTTAAATCTTTAATAATATTTATTTTTCAGACATGAACTGTGTGATATCACTGGTTGTAATTCAAACTTGGTGCGTTACCCATCCAATATTATCACGAAAGAAAAATATTCTGACTTCATTCCGGCTATCGAGTACTCTAATGTTACTCTCGAGTGCAGAGACGATGAAGTTTTGTTGGACTGTGAATGCACTAACGAACATTGCTTAGGCGTCAAAGTCATTGAAAAAACTGCCCTCGAAGATAGATTCTCGGGTTTCCTTGACTCTCAGTGTCTATTAGTCGCAAAACCAATGAAATTGCTATTTATGACAAGAAGTAAGTATTTATGACTTTGTACATTTATATTTGAGTATATAACTTTTGCAAGAAAAAATAATCGGTCGCCTCATGAATAACTGCGCCTTGCATACAAAATATTTTAAGATGAAAAACTACCGATTGAAATACTATCTATCAAAGTTTCACCCTCGAGTACATATGAACACATAAAATGATCATTTCACTCATTAACATAGAACATGAGAGGCGTCCCATGTTACATCAAACTCAGAAACTGTTGATCCTGTTATTTCAGTAAACATTTGCCAAGTACAACCAAACGTTCAAAAGTTCTATTAAAAATAACTAATCATCTAATCTAATCGCACTCCATTTGTGCCATTAACAGGTAAAATCCGGTGCTTATCAATAAACAACTATTTCCTAACAAGGTCAATTATAACAAAACCTGGTAGTGCCGTTAACATATCATGTCCACCCCGTATGAAATTAGCTTCGTGTAACAGCTTCGATAGCGGACTGAGTGAATATCCGAACAAGTAAGTGGAATTGTTGCAAAGTGTTCCGAATGTGCACCATACATGCAGTTCGTAGACAGCATATACAGCCCAAGCCGTACATTGTGATACTCACTGCACGTGTGATACGTGCATGTGGTGTTCATGACGAAGTTGTTGATACGATTGTTAAATGACACTTTTAGTGTAAAGTAAAACTGCAGCAACACTAATTTTGCCTTTATTCAACCAGGGTAACTCTTGGACAGGCACTTCGAACCCCAATTGCAAATACCATAGATGTATGTACTTCTAGAGATTGTACGGGAGAAGATTGCGAGACGACAGCAATATGTTTAATGACAAGCATCTCACAAATTGTTACAGTGCATGTATCAAATCGATTACGATATACAGATCGCAGCATAATTTTCCCCGCAATAAAAGAACCACGCTGGAAAAATACTAATGCAGCCTTCTATGTGTTTCCCTATGATGACATAGGAACATTGTGCTTCTGGATAAAAACTGCTTCAAAATACGTGGGAACAATACTATACCTTACCAGGACACATACATATCCTGTTCTGGCTGTGGCAGGTGGGAGTCAAACTGAAAGTGGATTGTTCATTGCACCAAATGGCGAAAAAATAAAATTTGACCCGACAGTATTGATGGATAATTACTGGCACAAAATGTGTCTTACCTTCGGTTCTACCAATGATTCATCTTCCACGTGTGCACTTTATATTGACAGCATTCTGACCGCTGAAACAAATGAATGGGTCACGTGCAATAAAGGAATGCTTTATCCATATGGTCACTTGTCATTGGGAAGAGGAATGGATGTTTTTAACCCAGTAATTCTATCAGATCCTGATATTCTAATTACAGACAATTCGTTTCTGAGTGAAAATGAACGAATTGTATTGCAATCGCCTTTTGAAGGAGTAATTGGTGACATCGCATGTTACGAAAATCCTTTGTCCACTGAAGCTTTACGCCGTCTTCGCTTTGCTTGTTTCGAAACTGATTGGTATATGGGCATTCCAACTCTCGCACTATCGCAAGAATATAAATACTTAAAAGGGTCCGATATCTACGCAGGTACAAGAATATACGGAGAGATCAAAACATACACCGGAAGCAAACCTTGCTCCGAGGTGAGTTACATGGGCTTTTTGTTTCGAAATTTTAAGACCCTTAAAAATAACAAAACGTGAGATCACGTCATTGTACAAAACTTCAAAATAATCCCACAAGCTCTACAATAAGTAATAGTAATAGCCTTCTAGCGACAACAACAATCTTTTACCACTGGAATTTCTAAACAATGGGCCCAGTAGTGAAGGAGAAAAGCTATTTTTTTTCATAATAACAACATAGGCTAATAACAAAACTATCCATAGGTAGCCTACTCTTCGTGTCCAATAAACACCATTTACCCGAGGGCGTAAAAGAAATGTGTGTTAATGAATATCTGACTTATTTTTGTTTTAGGATATCGATTTTTATAAACTATTCACCTATGAAAATTCTGTTGAGACCTCGTCTACTAACGTTACTATTACTGTGGATGTACATGCGTCTAATTATGAACTTTTGAAAAATATGATGGTTGATAAATATTATGTTTCGATAAAATGCAACCGGGAATCAAGGTAAAGACATTGAGTACTTTGAATATATGCAAACGCAACAAGTTGCGCAATACTCGTGTCCTAGCGATACATACGACGTGCGGAATATCTATTTTGTTCACAACTAAAGTCACCGAATTTAAGAGAATAAACCCGACGAAATTCTCTAAAATAAAACTGTGATCCACCTGATGAGCACTAGTTTTTATTACCTCCAATAATATTATCTGTTCATTTAATATTATTCCCTCACTGTTTTACTCATTTAGAAGTTTAAAATCCATTTTCTATAAATATTTCTGCGAAATCTTTAATCGCACGTGATAGAGTCAATTTGAATATCCTTCTTTCAATTCCCATGTCTTGAAATATTTTATATATTATTTAATTGCAAAGGTGAAGTTTTTTTGCGAACTACTTTTTAAAAATAAATATTGTTTTAAAGGAAGTATTTTAAATCATTTTAGTTCTCAAGAATCACCTCTAATATCAGCGATTTCCGAATTTCCACTTATCCAAATGGAAAAAAACGCAACGAAAATCATAAATATAAACAATTTACTCTCGGTCGAAGACTACACTTGCTATATTTATTCACATGTTAACCTATGGACGAAATCAAACCAAGAAAATCATCTCAAAATCAGGTTCACGACAACAACAGGGCCTGTTACAAACGTAACGTAAGGAAACAAACCACTTTTTATTTCTCTTAGCAGAAGTCCTGTCACGCCAGGCAGTTCATGGAGCGCTATATCTTTCCGAAATCGATCTACTTTCCTACCGCAGTTTTTTGATAGCTGTGAGCTGCCTTTATTGGAGACACACCTATACAGCATTAATAAAAACTTGAGTACGCCAACAATAGAAACTATTCAGAACAGCAATATAATATATATATATATATATATATATATATATACGCCGCTTTGGCTTTACCTTTTTCCTTTTATCTAAATATTTATACGCTTTTCGATCCACAGTTTGGAAGGAACGGAATCCATCTGGTTCAACATTGCCTACCCAATATTACAATGGGGTTTGAACGATAACAATACATCTATTTCCCCTGCTGTCTGTTTCAAGTGATTTATTTTTTATTAGTTTTAATACTTAACAATCTTTCAGATCATTGGTTTATTTGAATAAGATGATAAACTCATACGAAATCCTAGAACCCGGAACGGACAAATTGTGGTGGCAACCACCTGATCGCGGTGAAATCACACAGTATAAAGTAATTGCATACACCAAACTCACCAACAATACGTTCATACAAATAAAAAATGAAATAATAAAAAGCGATGATTTTCATAACTACACCGTGATGAAAGAGGAAGGGAGCGCAGGCGCTATTCCAGGTTCTTGGTATAACGTATATATATCACCGATAACGGCGAATTCCGAAGGTGACGTGAAAATTTTCAGCGATCGCTTACAGCCTGCAGCACCAATATTTTCAAGTGGAAGAAGTGTGGGCCAAGGGGATACAGTAAACCTCGTTTTAAAATGGGAAGATTTGTACCAGGAATATGTCGATGGATATGTTATGCATTACAAGGGTGAGAATTTAGTCAAATTATTTAGGCAACAATTTAACACATATCAATTATTCATCGCTGCAACACGACTAAATCCTAAACAATAGAGGAACCTAAATATATCGAAGACACGGTAGTTTAAGTTTAAACAATATATTTAATATACCAAAAACTGCGATAAGCACTGCAAAGAGTGGTGAAGCTCATTTTTAACATTTATTCTAGCTATTGCCGACCTGAAATGGACAGTTGTTAACATTCCTCCGCTGAGAACATCTCACCAATTATTAGGTCTAAAGAGTTTAACTGAATATAGTATAAGATTGCAGAGTTTGGCAGGGCTGAAAACAAGTAGTCCGTCAGAAATGAACATTACTACTGGAACAGCGGGAAATTACCGATTCGAAATGAGCAGGTCAGTAACTCCACTACTTCATTGTACTGCCCATCCAGAGTTGTAAACTCATGTTTTGTAGACTGAACCAAGTCTGAATTCGAAACTACATGCACGTCCTCCAAAATTATTTTATTGGTTATAGAAAAGCTTAGAAATAATAAATTCTATAATTGATCATTTTTGCTTTTACGTTTTACTTGGTTGTTACTCAGTGTTCCTATTTGAAATGCCTCTTATTCTACCCTGTCCCTACATATTTTATCTGCTGCGACAATTTTTCATCTTTTGGGCATCTTGATTTACATTATGCATTTAAGATTAATTTTATTTTCTAGAATTTCTTCATCATCTGTTGCATTGGATTGGGATGTTGACATACTTTGTTACAAATATCAGGTGGAAATGAAAGCTATTTCTGCTCTAGATAACGTTCCTATTTCAAAATCAAACTGTTATTTTACAACTTCAATATTTCTTCAAATAGTGAATGTTATACGATGCACAGATTCAATACGCCGTTTCGATAAAACACTTACCCAAACGGTTGATAAATTGAAAAAAGGTAAATAGATAGATTAATATTAGATTTTAATTACATCTGCTCATCAATATACCTGCACACTTCATTCTCAATTTTACAACTTAACAACGATGATTTGAAAGTTTTTGTTTTGTTTTGTAGGTTGTATCTACGAAGCACTAATCCAGCACATCAATGAAAATGGCGACATTGAATACACGCTCACTACAAATTTCAGCAATCCCGCGGATCTAACAACGGTCAATAATTTTCGTTTAGTTGCTGCTACTGAGAACGCGTTACAGTTCTCGTGGGAAAATCCAAGTAGATTAGAAGAAGTTGATTTGTTTCAGGTAGATATTGCTTATTTTTACTTCAATATCCAAACAACAATCTGACCAAAATTATTACATTAATTAAAACTTTTTTATTCACCTATTAGAGTTAGACAATATAAACATCTTGGTAAGGCTAAATTAGCTTATGTGGTCGACCAAATCAAAATAGCCGCTGAAAATTACCAGTAAATCCTTATAATTTCGCCATATTCATAGTTATTAGTTTTAAATTAACTTCATTGAATATAGTTTATTTTTTATATAGTATTTTTGGAACCACTAAAGTATGCGCACCAAGATGGCGCACAACCTGAACTAAGGTTGTGTACCAGGTTAGGGTTCAGATTATGCGACATCTTGGTGCGCATACTTCAGGAGTACCGTATTTTTTTTTTTTTTTCAATTCTATATTCTTTAATTATATCACAAGATAACGGTATCACTTGCTAAAACACCATGGATACAAGAAAAGTGGGCAGTTTTTTCTGAGCCCCGGGCAACTATTACCGATCTAAAAGAAGCGACCAGATATGTTATCAATGTCACATCGGCGAGGAAAAAGGAGATTGCCAATGAATCGGCATCATTAATAGTATGGACCAAACGACGAAACGTGTCGTCGTTATTTACCTGGTCAGACTGGACGTCATATTCACAGGTTGAGCAAATTTTGTCACTTTGGTGCCGAATCCATTATCCCTATCCATCGCTGTAATACCTATTTTCCGAAATGTTTTTCTTCAGTGTCCAAAGACCTGTGGTGAAAATGTAACTCAGACGAGGCAACGATACTGCCAGAATCCTGACTTAGATACTGATGATTTTTGTCCCGTTGACGACATAGAAATGAGAGATAAAGAAACGGAAACAAGATTCTGTAAATTGGAAAGTTGTGCTATTGATGGACAGTGGTCAGAATGGTCATATTATGGTCCGGTAAAATATACACCATTTCTGTAGATAGCCATACATACAATATCATGATAAGCAAATAATTTACGGATGAAAATTAATCACAAATACCCTTGAAATCAAAATATACCGACAAGAACCTTTTAGTCACATAGTACCAGCCATATAATATGTAACTAAAATTTGCGAGTACTCTATTGCCAAAATTAGGTTGTACATTATTAGGTTTGGAAGCTCATGGAATGAATACAAATATTAGGGTAATAAATTTTAATACCATAATTATTGTTTACTTTAAGTCTTAATGACTTTCATTACTGTATGATATAAACGTTGGCAGAGTTGTCCATTTTTACAACAGTGTGATAAATCTTGTGGTGAGGGCGGATTTCAGACTCGTAACAGAACATGCAGCAATCCTGCGCCAGCTCATGACGGAAAATATTGTAATGGCGGAAGTTTATGGAAGGTACAAGGCACATAAAATTTTTCATTTACTCTTGTGTACTTTAGGTCTAACGCTGCAATTATGTTCTAACGTATAGGAATTTCATATTTATGGCCAAGTCAAGTAACATTAGTTGGTAAAGATAAATGTTTACGAAAACAATTCCTATCGTCCGCATGTTTTATTTTGGGAAATATTTATCTTACTTATGAGAACGGTTTTAATTTAACCCTGTCTTAGGTCAATATGTAACACTCAATATCGTGTTGCCAATTTCCGCATATTTTAAGTATGCACAATAGATTGAATTTATTCTTGTAGCAGCTAAATGGGGATGCAATTCATAATGAATAATTCAATTGCAAAATGAATTTTATTTTTGAGTACATTAGCTAGAGTCGCAAGCCAGGAAATCATCTTGTCAATTTTGTATGTGGCCAAACCCGCTCGCAAGCGCGGGGTTCATAAAAGGAAATCGCCTGTTATTTGTCCTTGTTCTATAAGCAGTTTAATTAAGGAACACGGGAAAACACTGTAGTCCACAGCAACCGTCCTTCCTCATTTCATGCTACTCTACAAAGTCACTGCTATATGGATCTTTAAGCCAAACCTTGATCAAAATGAATATTTTTAAAAAACAAAGGCGCTACAAACATTGTGTGCGATATTTTCACATTCCGTCTATTGCAGACCGAGATTAGACAATGCGGACACCAACCATGCCCTATCAACGGTAATTGGACGGCCTGGGTGAAAATATTTTCTTGTGATGTGACCTGTGGAACCGGTAAACAGAAGAGAATGAGGTTATGTAGAAATCCTGTCCCACAATATGGCGGAATGGATTGTGTTGGTGATGAGAGTGATACAATACCCTGTAACACGGATCCAGTGAGTTTCGCCTGTTATTAATTCTTTGTCATCAAAAATCGTTGGCGTGGCTTCCTAGAAGTTAAAGTGTTGGGTCTAACTATGATGACATCGCGGGTTAAAAGTTCAACACCTTTTAGGATCAAAAGTTCAGGTTCAGATTCAAGTATGTAATAAACCTTCTAGGATATAATAAATTGGGACAATGCCAAACTGAAAAGATTCCGTTCATGCAAAAACTATAGTAGCTCTATTCCCAGCAGTGGCCGCTTGTGCAGAGCATATATATTTGTAATTATCTGTGGGCTTTCCAGGAATCAATTTAACCAAATGCCGACATGTTATATAAGCATAATATGAAACTTCCTATTTTACCCATTTACAGTGTCCAGTACCGGGCGAATGGCAGTCATGGAGTAGCTGGAGTATTTGTTTAAATTTTTGTGGATTGTCAAACTCAAGCAGAACAAGGGAATGCAAAATTTCATCTACAGGGCATAATTGCGCAGGATCTGAAGACATGAAAGTAATGCTTTTTTATTTAAATTAAAAATATATATATGTACTATATATTTATACTCCAAACGGTACAATGGTTTTGTCATGTAGGAATAACTTTTTTCGATATTCTCATAACAGAAAAACAAAAGCTATCTAGCTATCCCTACAAATCAAATTTGATCAAAATTATCGTGCAGTACACAAATCTGATCACCATAACTCATGAATCGAGTCAAACATCCATTATTAAAAATGTCATTTGGTTTTAGTGGAATAATATCAGTATAAAATATCACTCATCGCAGTTCTTTTCAATGAAAGCGTAATTCTGCTTTACAAAATGTACCAGTCTACCATGATAAATAAGTATACATTGTATGAAACTAATTAAACGGTTTCCATCGTTAATAATTTGAATACCTGTCATTGTTGAAAGCCATCGCTCGGAATACGCGACAAATATTTCGTTTAAGAATCTTTAAAAAGGCTCTTTTATCGCATTGCCTACTCAGTAAACACATTTATTTTCAAGCATAAAAATAATAAATTAACAGATCGTGCCAAGTTGGACCAACGAACCCTTAGACTTAGAGAAATTTTCTTGACCAGCGTTCACATAACATCCTTGCGTTTCGTATTAAGCACAGTGTTTGCAGAGATATACCAGATTCAACAACTTCCGCAAAAAGCATATAGGCCTGTGGATCGAAGCATATTTGATACTGCTTTGTTAATTGCTACACACATAATAACGAATACGCTAGCTTTCCGGAGTTACCTGCAACTTGTACAGGCTGATCAGACCAAATGCAGACAAATGTTTATTAAAATGTCTACAATATATATGAAAAAAATTATTATGCAGAAATAAAATGCATAATAGCATTCATATTTTTTTTCTCGATATATCCTCCCTTTGCCTTCACAACACGATAGGGTTAGTTCGGATACCTATAAATTTCACTATCCGGATAACGGATATATCCGGGTATTCCGTATTTTAACAGTCCGGTTGACCGGATAGTTACTGCTGACTTTAGAGAACCGATTTTTGCGGTGAATTGACCAAAAACCACCGCACAGTTCTATTATGAATAGCTCAAATTTGAAAGATTTCAAAAATACGAATTAAAACTGGATTTATTCGAGCAGCTTACCACGTATTTTCATATCTGCAAAATGCGCATTTTAAAGTAGAAGTACTTTCATTTTAACGTAAGTCGACGCAATCGCGAGATACGTTGAACACGGTTATTATGGAAAGAAATTTTAAAATGCTCTAATCGGCCACAAATTGAATATTTTGCGCAATAGAAAAATTTGAAAACATGTATATTACATGCGTTCGAGTACTAAAAATTTTGTAATGCTACACAGATTACATGGAATCCGAAGAATTGTGAAATAAGTCCTCGAAATTCAAACTGGCTTATTCCAACACAAAATGCCTTCAATACACGCAACAACTAAAAGCCACACCCGACCAAAAAGCAACAACCTCACAACGACGCATTCAGTGCTTTTCAACTGAATTTGTTTAAGTTAGTCTTGCTAATACTGAACCCCCAGTTTTCAATCTAACTTATAAAGTGAATGAGGTCTTCTTTAACCCAAACACAATAATCACATTTGTTCTGCGTGTTTTGTGATGTAATAGTGAAGGTAACTCTAGCATTCCGCAGATGGTTTGAACTTTAAATATAGGCAGAGTGGTGTGAATAAAAGTTACTATTGTATGCTCTGGAAGATGTCAGTCACCACTTAACAAAAAATATAAAAATCACTAATGCGCATATGCAATATTAATACTGCTCTATTATCCGGTTAACCGTCACAATAATGTCCGGATATCAGATAGTAAAATAACTCTCCGTTAACCGGATAACCGTTATCGGGATAATCCAACCATACTACACGACTCAATCTGTTTGGAACTTGACTGCACGAGGCACGTATGATTTCTTCTGGAATTTTGTACAAACAAGTCATCAATCTATGCTTTTAAAGCAGTTGGTCTCAACCTGAGGTACGCGTACCACTAGTGGTACGCAAGCCGCTTTGAATTATTGCGAAATTATCTTTTATATTCGCTGAACAGCGTTTATAGCGCTACCAATCCTTTTTTATAAAGATCGCTCTCGCCCCTCCAAAATCGGAACAGTCATGTTCTCTCCGTTTTGCGTGTTACGTCACAATGTGTCTGCGTTAATAAATCGGGAAATAAGTGAGCGTTCGTGATAGCGACTAGGACTGATCAATGAGCATATATACAAATAAGTATATATGCTCATTGAACTGATCAAAGTTTATTCGTCCGAGGTTTCGGATAAATTAGTGGTTATGATAAGATGTATTGCGAAGTAACGCGCAAAATGGCAAAAACATGCCCATCTCGTTTTAGGTGGACAGTAACGGGCAAGAGCGACCACTAAAAGACAAGAACTGGTAGCGCCATAAACACCGTTTAGCGGGTTTAGGTCTTATTTTCAGACCAGGTCTTATTTTCGAGGAAACACGGTAGTTTTACGATGATTAGCCATTGCTGTGTTCAGTGTTATGTCATAAAGGTTAAATGGGTCGCATAAGCTGTGGTAATAAATAGTGGGTCCCAACTCTAAAAAGTTTGGGAACCACTGCTCTAAGGTATAGAATAATGATTTGCTGGGACAAAAGTTGAGACAAAAAAAAAGATCGAGGCATGTGGTGAAGGCAAAGGGGGGATATATCGAAAAATAACAATGAATCTGTTATTTATCTTTATACTGCTATTTTCTGCAAGACAAGTTATTTATTTACATTTATATTTTAAAAATTTTAATAAACATTCGTCTACAACTGGTTTGATCATCCTGTACAGATTGTCCCAGTGTAACATCATCTCAAAAATGAACGATTAACCTAAATTTGCTATGATATATATTTATTTAATGTAATATATGTTATAATAATACAATATATTTAATTAATTTAGCATGTAATACAACATTTAAAATTGTTAATATTAATACTGTAGAACAGGAAATTGAGTCGATGTCAATCTTGCATATAAATAATCTTCAAATTTGTTGCAGATGATAGTAAAAAAATATGACTATATTTCATTCTAAAACTCTAATGTAAATCCAATTTACAAGTGAAATCTTTATATTTTATTACATTCATTGTTCCATGCCTCAAAGCATTTTTTGGCTTCGTCTACTTTGTTTGGATCCTTGCAGAAAACCTGAATTCTTTTTTCCTCAAATTTCGCCGGCAACATGTTAGAAAACTCGTCGCGCTTAATTTTCTTCGCCTTCGACGGTTCTGTTTTTGAATAAAACCGATACTTCTCTACTGGATTATTTTCACCATCGCCATAGTTAAGCTTAACCAAACTAACTTCTAAATCATTTATCTCTATGTCCTTGCTGTAACCGACTATTTTTTTCTTGATTTCATCAGTGTCAATTTGCCCTTCTTTAAGTTGTTCGTCTCCAATACATCTATATAGATCTCTCCTGAATATTCTTTCGAGAATTTCACGAGCTTTTTTCAGATTTTCACAATCTGAATGTAGAATTTGCTGAAAAGTCCCATCATCTAGCTTTGTATATGCTACCGGATCAATAACACATTGAGATATAGTGCAAAGATAAAATCCTTCTTCATCGACCTTCAGAAATGTGGCATTTGGTTTCGATAACTCCGAGTCTTTCACTTTGCTGCCACGAATCAAGATTTGTCTGTCGGCTTCTACCAGGGCATCACTGATCATATGGTCAATTGCATTCCCGGCTTTGTGCTGATATGCTCTTCGGTGTAGAGAACATCGTGTGTGGAACATTTCATACAAATTGAAACATTCCTTTTCATGTACACAAATATGCTTTTCTTCATCTTGACCAACTGGTAACACTCGCATAAACTGTAAAAAACGCTTGTGGTCGAATCCATTCGGAATACCCAAGTGATAACAATCTCTGGCAAAATAATCCCACTTATCAACATCGACACCGTTGCTTTTATTTGATATAATTTCGTAGAGGAACCAACGATCGGAAGTACACCCTTTGCCACTCCCCGCAATCATTTCTTTGATAAATTGGCGCTCTTCCTCTGACACAATTTTCTCTTCTATTCCATCGAGCAAAAGATCCAACATTTTGCAAGAAATATCTTCGTGGGGAAGATATTTCTCATTCTCTACTCTTTCCTCTTCTGATTCTCTTTTTTTCAACTTTTTCATGAACATTCCATCGAACAAGTGTGAAAAAGGACCGTGACCAAGATCATGGCACAGTCCAGCTATTTCAACACACAGAACATCTCTGTCGTCAATTCCAAGATCTTGATTCTCCTTGAGATGACGGACCAATTTTCCCGCTAAATATGCGGTACCAATGCTGTGCTCAAAACGATTGTGTGATGCACCGGGATAAACGAAGTATTTTCCACTCAACTGTTTGATATTTCGCAGTCTTTGGAACTGCGGAGTGTTGATGATTTTCACCAATTCAGGACGAAGTGATATTGTACCATGTACTGGGTCGTTAAATACTGTCACATTCATTCTAAGTTACGTCTATTTCGTCACAAAGTAATTTGAACAATTAACAAGAGCCTTTGTATTAATAATCTAGAAATAATATTCTTGTTTATTCTGATAATCTTGTTAACTTGCTTCACAAATATTTCAAAGTGTGGCAGTTTAATTAGGTAATTTAAATGTATTATTTAATTGATAAATGATATACACGAAAAATATTTCTGCTCGAGCGCTACTAAAGCAGTGTAAGATTTGATCATTGTGGACTGAAACCAGGTATCGGATGACAGCTCCCAGTTCCCATACTTTTCAATACAGCAGTCTATGCTCTTGCATTCTGTCAACTTCAATAAGCAGACACAGTTGTTACCTGTTGCTCAATCCAAATGGTTCTGACATGTCTAAACAAAGAATGTCAACTTTTATTATATCTGTTTAAAGTGACAACGCTGATCGCGATCCCAAAGAACAGAGAAATTTTACGAGAAAAGTAAATATGTGCGCATATATGATTACATAGGCATAATGCCTACGTGTCATTCCTAAATGTAAATGTTTGGATTACACACCGCTAATTTCTCGGCGTGGGTTTCAGGTTACGCAATGGGCAAGGTATACTAAAGCCTATAATTCATTTTGAAATATTCCTGATTTTTTTTTATTGTAAAGCATTGTTTCAGAATGTCGTTTAAAGGTTTTATAAAACTGATGTTTGGTAATTTTTGTAATCAGGAAATAATACTTAACCCAAATGTTCACCTTTGGTAGCATGGCGTTTCCCATCACGGCCTTGAGTTTTTTGAAGTGTATTCAAATTCAAGTCATTATTCAATGTACTTAGGTGAGGTCACAATTGGGATAGCCTAGGGCCCTTTATTGTCGGATCTGGCCGTCCGTTTCGGTTTTCTTCCCCATCCAAGTGCAGTATTGACTAACTGATAAATTAATTTTACTACTCGGCGTGGTAAACTATACCTCTCTATAATATGTCCTTGTTATAGCCGTTACCTTCCCAGGGACAAAACGTGTACTTGACGACTGACGTAAATTACCAAAAAGTCCATTCGTATAATTAATTGGCCGCGCGCAAATCGGAAAATCTATGTAAACCCTAATGCATGTGCAATATTCAATCTAACATAATACATTTATCACAGGAGACAGAGAATAAGCTATGTATAGCGTCAGATCCATGCGAGGACGACTTTCATTGGGGACCTTGGGGTCACTTCACTGCCTGTAGCAAGACTTGTGGAACTACAACAATGCGGGAAAGAGTTAGAACATGTGTCTGGAACGACGACGTTTACCAAAAAGCAAGACCGTGTAATGATCAGAAGATTCAAAAATTAATGTGTGGGGCAAGAGAATGCCCCATAGATGGTATATATATTGATAATATAAATTGAAAAGTTATTTTGAACACAGAATATAAAAACTCAACAATTGTTACTTGAAACCCGAAGTAGGTCAAGGAGGCGATGGTTCACGCAAGACAAATTAAATGTGTAGAATTATGCTGTTTGTTTTTAAATCGTACTTTTTCTGAAGGTCTTTTTTATTTTTTTGGTAAAATCAGATTTAATAAAAAGAACTTTAAAAAGAACTATCTCAATCTAACGAGAATAAAATTACTTTACCAGTTCATCTATTTTGTGGGATTCATTGATAAAATCATTTGAACTTATATTGTTAGAATTGTTCCTATATACAGCCTTCATCCAGTAGTTCAAATATAAGTATGCATTATTTAACCAAATCAAATGTAATATTTGTGTAGTAGTTTGCCAAATAATATGATTTTCAGGATCTTGGGGGGAATGGTCTACTTGGGGACCATGTTCTGTCAGTTGTGAAAAAGGCGTTCAACTCCGAATGCGTTTATGCAATAATCCAAAACCTGCTTTTGGTGGAAAAGATTGCGAAGGAAGCAAAACTGGATCTCAGATGGAAAAAAAAGAATGTGTGAGGCAAGGCTGTCCAAGTGGAAGGTATCTATATAACATTTAATTGTTGGGAACTCCTGAAGTATGTGAACCAAGATGCCGGACACCGGAACGTAGTATGTGTACCAGGTTAGGGTTAGGCCATAATGTCAGGTACAAATATTACGGAGTTCACTAGCACCCGAACTCGTAATAGAACTGAAAAAAGGGAAAGTGGAATAAAATTATGGCCTAATCCTAACCTGGTACACATACTACGTTCCGGTGTCCGCCATCTTGGTTCACATACTTCGGGCGTACCTTTATTTGGATATGAGGCCCAGACCAGTAGGCTTCACCATACAACCCGGAAATAACGCGGAGGCTACAGTGCTGTGTCGTATAATTATATTTGAATAACAGCGAATAGGCAGCTATAATGCAGTTCACGTAACAGACATTAAATATATATCAAGAGACAATACAGCCGTTCTAGAGCCCATGGAAGTCACCAATAGGATTTGAAACGGAGAAGATAAATTCAACACCCTTAAAATAGAACAACTTGTCGTTTTTTTATACGGACTTTCACAAGAAAAATATCCGTCCCAACTGAGTAGAATCGACAACATCGGGCGCTCAATATTCTGATAAACCAGACCAGCAGAATTCAACACCCAACCCGGAAACGCGGAAGTTACAGCGCTGTGTCATATAATTATATTTTTTAAATGACAGTGAAGGGACTGCTATAATGCGGTTCACGTAACAGGTAAATAAATATATAACAACAGACAATACCGGCCTTCCTCAAACAAAAGTTTGCATTCTATTTATCAATTCTTTATCAGTGCAAGATTCATACAGCGCCCATGGAAGTCACCCATGAGATTTGAAATATCCAGCAAATATTGGGGAAGGTTATCTCCCCCCCCCCCCTCAAATAGATCAACTTGTCGTTTCTTCCTACTAACTTTCACAAGAAAAAAATCCGACCCAACTGAGAAGAATCGATAACATCAGACGCTCAATTTTCTGATCCAAACCGAACAACCCGGAAAAATGAATGCGGAAGCTACAGTGCTGCGTCATATAATTATTATAATTCACACTGAGAGGCCATGCTTAAAAAAAATTAACATATTTTCATATGCAATTTTGCGGCATTTGTAGTAAGACATAAATTCACAGCCTTTTCCATCACCCTTCTGCTACTTAGATTAAATAACCAAACGAGAAAATGAAAATTTGCGTTTATATGCCATGGATAACTTCGACAGCAAAGTACGTCTGTAGAGCGATTCTTTAAGATATTGATCAATGGCCATATTTATCTGGCTTTGTTCCAAGCAAAAGGCATTAGTGGAAATGCAATTTCGTCAAAAGAAAGTAATTAACCACAGGCAGTTACTGCTAAAAAATACATCTGAGTCCCTTTCGTGCAGCATTGGTCTTAGAATATTAATGTTTTCAGGTATCTGAATTCTCCAACGACCTTACGACATTGTAAACCAGAAACAGGGAAAAGTAGTGTTGTCTGGCCATGGACGTTTGCGGGAGTTACCCAGAACGCATCATGCCCTGCTGGTACAAGTGGAACTGCATTTCGTCTTTGCAGCCAGAATCAAATATGGCAAGAGGAAGACTTGACTGCATGTACAAGCGAGAAAGTTAAAGTAGAAATTGTATTGTTAATTTTAAATAAAGAATAAATATAACGTGACTTAAAAAATGGAAATTGAAATCAAGAAGTAAATAACGATTATTCCTAAAAAAGCGTAGAATTTTATGAAACTCATCATAAAATCATACCTAAACCACAGTAACATTATGAGCGCAATATTTTAGAAAATCGTTGATAAAATTGAGGAAGCGAACGTCGGTACAAGCACGGGCTTTTCAGCAATATCCACTGAAATTTTGCAAATATTAGAAGGGGATACTAAAGGAAAGCATTTGTCTGTTGCTGGTGATATATTGCAGCTACATGGTGAATTTTTTTTTTTGAAATTACTTCTATTTGATGTGTTATATTTGTAATTGGAGTAATTTGTAATTTATTGTATCCTCATAACCCTATAATCACATATTATTAGGTATGCTTAACAAACTGTTAGATTGGAAACCTTCAACATTCTCCGACTTATCGAGAGCTGCAAAATTAGAATATGTTGACACAATAACAACATCGGTGGAAAAGATAACAAATCTAAAATATCAGAATATCTGGATGAGCTTGAATGGATCAACGGCATTAGATTTATTAAAAGTTTGTAAAGGATTACAATTACAAAAATGTTTTTTAAAAAGTGTTCAGTTAGTATGTCGATGAATGATTACATTGGGTTTATAATTTTGATAAATATTTCACTTTCAAACTGCTAAATGCATACTTGATTGCAATTAATGCAATGATGGTATTTTTATTTACACTTTCCTCAATGTATGCATTGTTGACTACATTTGATGACTTGTTTTCGTCAATGATCCTATGTGATTCAATGTGTGTATTATATATATGGCGTTCACTCGTTGAATGATTCCCCTAGTCCCGACTAATATTGTAAATAATATTTTACCTAAAGCTTGTACAAAATAAAATCTCATGAGCCACTTATTTAACATTCTACTGTGATTGCACATAGATTTTTCATTTCACACAAGATAAACCAGAACAGAAAGTAATTCTCAAATGAAGTTCGTCATATCTTAAACTCGAAACATTTTCTTCTACATGTTACAGAACTTTCTGACTTTAATCGAAAACACGAGTTTATATGGACAAGATGTTATTGAATCAGATACTTCTGTAATTTACAAAAATAATTTGAATCAGGATTTCAATCTATTCCTCAAAACCGTCGGCCAAATAACGAAGCAAGGTTGTTTACATTTCCACTGGAAAATACACCCGAATATGAGTAAGAATAGGTTTCTACTTTTTCATCATTCAAGTATAATCAATTGAAACCCTATTTCTTGTGTCTAAAGGGTTGGTTGTTAAGGAAAGTATTAAATACAAGATGCCATTTGCGGGCATAATATTATGTTACTTACCATTGCGATTTCATCTCTTTTTAGAATGGAAAAGAGCACAATCAGTGTAGTGCTCGACTCAAGAGTTTGGCAACTCAATGGAGAATTTTCACTCGCGAAGCTAATGTTTGTTAAATACAATACAATGTCAAAGTTTATACATAATCTTAATGAAAATATCACTCAAGTAACAGGAAGGGCATTTGGCGGTAGAAATATAAATGGGCCCCTTATTGGCGCAATGGTCAGATACAAAGGAATGGAAAATATAACGGAACAAAAGATACAAGTCCGAATTGAGTTTGTGCATAACAGGTAAAAAGCATTGTAATTGTCATTGATTTCTTTTATGTTAGAGCTTGATATGGTTAGCATATTAATGCACGGCAAGAAGAAAAAACTAAATATTCATTTAATAATGATTTAAAATTTGTTCGATTGATGTCATTATTATCATATAAGCAACTATACAACTGTTTTAGGACTAGATTTATTGGTTTTAGCTACCGCTATAGATCTGGATATAGGTTGCTGAAATCTATGACAAATTTGTTTATAAATAGTAAATGGAATATGTATGCTTAACATCGGTGATTTTCAACCGGTGTTTTGCGGAACACTGGTGTAATCAATTAATATGAGCTTGTATAGATCAGCACGAATCCTCTATTTTGGCTGTGAATTAGGAAAGGCAAACACGTAACCCTTCAACGGCTACGAACAGCCAGTTTTAAAAAATTATCATTGGAATTTTAACGTACTTTTGTTCTATGTAGTGAATGAATTTGACTGTATTACGGCATTTTACAACTCGACTCATAAGCCATCGGTTCAGTTGTAAATTCATTCCTACGCTAAATTTGAACGAGAATATTTGTAATTCAAGTAGTTCTTACAATATCGGAATTTTCGTTTAGTGTTCTGCAAAAAAAAAATATGATATAAAAAGTATTCCCTCAAATCTTGGCTAAAAAGAACATTGGAATAATGAAGGCTTTACAATAATGTGTTAAATCTTCCAGGCGAGCAAAGAATCCGATCTGTGTATATATTGACGAAAGGAAGGGAAGATGGCTGTATAATGAAGGTGGTTGCAGACTTGATGTAGTGTGGTCCACTCCTGAACTTTCAATTTGTATATGTGATCACTTAACTACGTTTGCAGTGCTAACTCATGATTTATTAGATGAAGACACACAACGAGTTATCGATCAACGTAACTTCAGGTATTGGTACCTCATCGACGTTTTTTATTCATTTTCAACAAATATACGATAATATGAATATGCCGGATTATACAAAATACGTTAGAAATAACATCATAATTTGAAAACTATGACAAGTTTCAATGCTCTGTTAAGGAGAGGTTTACCAAAATGACCTCCTAAAAACCTTCTAACCTCCATCTAATAATCGTTAACTTTCTACATTCCTAGAACCTTTTACTTACATGCATCGCTTGCCGGAACGATGGGAATGGCGGCAATATTCGCTCTTATTTTAGCACCTATCGTTTCACTGAAACTTGAATCTGGATTGCCGGTTCATACTGTTTTATCACATGGATTGAAACATGGGGCAATTCTATGTGCGGTGACTTTCAGCGATTCGAACGCTATGTGCGCTGTTACCGCATCTTTTTTTGTATATATGTGCACTGTGACAACTACTATTGCAATGATTAACTGCCTGGACGTTCTTATGGATATACGCTGTGGAGAAAAAGGTATTAGGCTTTCAAGTTTGAATGATCACAACACAAAAACAGAGCAATGCTTGAATATATGAACACAAAGATCAAATAACTACTTATATGAGAGCCTTATTTGTAATGAAATTACCTTATTTTAAATGCCATTATCCCAGATACCTTTGTTATCAGCCACATATTTTGTTTGATAAAACAGAAACATTTTGGGTGAAATATTGGGTTCCATTAAACCCAGAGTTGACTTTAAAATTAATAGACTTTTGATGACTTCTTCCTTTGTTAATATCCCTTACAAACAACAGCAACGATTTAGTAAAACGACTGGCAGGTACTCTTCGTTTCCAATTTTGATAAGTACTCTACATTAGATACTAGCATATTCATAAGCTTCCTGTTATGACATATCAATACTTTATATCTTTACTGCAGGTCCCAAGACAACTATTCGTTCATTGGTTGGATCTTCCCTTTATTCTTGGTTATTATGATACTTGTCACGTATGGAATATCTTCCTCACAAGATGCAACAATAACATGCAAGGAAACTTATAGTGTTGTTGTACTTTTGCCCGCAATAACAATTGTTTCATTCACAGCCATTATGTCATTGAGTTTATTGATTTACTCAACGAGGGTGTTTTCTGCATCGATGATAAAACCATTAGAAGCAAACAGGTAATAATATTAAGATAATTTATTTTGCACCGACGGGCTGGGTAACTACGTATATGAAATAACCGTTATATTGGTATACTTCCAATGACTAAGTTTACCCCGCCAAACTCGAGGAGACGAAAATATTCAATTTGCTAAGTTTCGATCGAGAATACTAATTCTATCCCATACTCAATCGGGTTTTATTTGTTTGCTTGTTTGAAACAAATTAGCTCATATTCATGAACACAAACACACACAAAAAAAAATATATTAAAAAGGGAATTCAGTTGATACTGGTAAAAGTTTCGGGCGATTTTATCTTTGTCCAAATATTGAACGGACGCTCTTTTTTTAGAATTGAACGTAGACTTTGGAGTATAGTGTTTTTACTTCTCGTTACCTTTGCAAGTGTCGCATTACTGATGTGGAGTTTTGTGGATCAGGCAACTCCGCCACAGGAAATTCAGGTCGACAATTTTATGTTTAATATTTTCTGTTTAACTGCGTAATTTTTAAAAAGTTTAATATTCTTGAAGTACAACCTTGCTAAATATGAATGTGTGTCTTCACTTGTATTTCACCACAATCCAACGTAGCAAGATGTAAGGTGCCACATCTGCCCAGGCTGATTTACAATCTTAAATGATGTTTAATTTTGATAATGATTTAATTGATGCAAACACATCATTGAAAATGTGATTTAGAAAAGCGTTTCAACGACAAAATAATAATCAATTTTTAGATTGCATACGTATCCATACTTGGAGTGGAAATATTTTACATTGGATTTATGCATCTGTGGATGGATTTGGAATTCAGGACATACTATTACAAGAAGTTTGGTGCTAAACCAGTGAAAGAAAAAGTGATGGCGCAACCTCCAAAGTATATTCCATGATGACTGACCTATTTAGATTTTGTTATATCGAAAGAATTGTTATCATGTATACAAGCAAAACTCATCACTCGTTGTAGTAGTAATATTTCATTTGAACACTCAAATATGAATACTTGTATATGAGTTTTATATACAATTATTTAGAGGCGTGTTTCGTTTTTGATAAAATCGTTCATATACATACACATACAATTGTATACCAAAACTAATAAAACAGCAACATCTTATAGAGTTTGAAGTCAATCTTACAGGATAAATGCTGCACGAATATTAATATAATCACCAAGTAATTCTATCATTGTTTTTATTGATACAAGCATATAATTGAACTCTAGGCGATATATCACCCAATTTCGCAATTCTTTTTGAAACCCAGCCCAAATTACATGTTCTTTTACGTACTTGTTTGAGGATAAACCAGTGATTGACATCAGACCTCTCTTTTGGATAGTGACCTGTCGCTGTGCTTCCCAGTTCCCTTTCAAATAAAACACAAGTGAATGGCTCAAATTTAGTTAGGTTGTACACACATATGAATAAAGAGTATTGTCGTCAGAAGGAAGGAAACGTGAAAGCGTATTTGAAAATATCGGATTTAAAAAATGAGTTTATATATATTAGTTTTAGCAACGATACAGGCGCGCAAGTGAAGTTGAATTGATTAATTAATTTTTGAATTTAGGCGAAAATAGGCATCCATTTAGACACATGTTAAAAGTACAAGTATTTTATTATAATATAAATATTCCCTTTCAGAATAAAATATTTATATATTGAATTCAAACTGAAGGTTTTGCAAATGTAAAAAGCGATTTTACGACGATGCTTATTTGATGGATCCATTATTTGTTACATTAACATGCCAACTCCAGCAATTACATCAGATCCAGATTTACACTTTATCAAGAAGTTAAATACAACATTGTAAATTCATACTACTTTTGATTTTTAAAATGGTGAGTTTGTATTGCTCAATTCCATGGTAAATATTTTCTTACAGTGATGCAGTTGCTTTATTTATAAATATCAGTTCATCGGGGAGATGCTTAAATGAAAATTTCCAACATATCTTACCTCCATGGGCGATTTATCGTCATAAGAGCGTTTCGACGTATAAGTATTCATTTGGTAGAAATCCATTTACCACGATATTTCAACAAACCACCAGTCGCTATTTAACATTTATCTGAATAATAATTGTAGCTATCCGGTGTTGGGTTGTGTAACGTTTTCTGACTCCAAGCACCAACTGTCACCAATGCAGTCCCATCATGCCTACATAAAATTATTCCATGAAAAGTGGATTAAAAACATTATAAACAAAGCATTGTGCAAACTTACGTTTCTATTGTATGAGCTTGCCAATTCAAAAATCGTAATATTTGTTGCATAGAAAACAACGGTGCACGTCTTCGCGTTTTCCATCCAACCCCTGTATTTTTGAGACGTTTTGTATTAAAACACGGATTTCTATTAAATTGATTTGCCTGAATGAATGTTATATATGACATTATGAAACCTTTATATATAATGTATTGCAAATTGCCATACGAAGCTGTGTACAAAGACGTTGTTGGATTTGGTCTAGTCATACGTATACATTGTATATATATATAGCGAATCCTTGAGATGCGAACTCGCAGGGTTCTCGAATCAATCTTCCTTTTTAAACACAAATTTTGTGGTGACTTTTCAAGAAAGATTTCTTAAACCAAGTTCGTAAATTTTTTTAAATAAATAATATTGCTAAACCGTAGCAGTATATATTTACGGCTAAACTACAAAACAAAAACTATATCATTTGACATTCTCACCCTTGTGGTTCATTAGCAATATCAGATATTCCGAGTGCTACATGTCCTTTCAATCCATTCACACTTGGAATAAAAGCTTTATCAATGTACGATCTGAGTTTCTTTTCGTCGGTCACGAGTCCGAAAATCCTTTTGGCTATAAGTATAACAGAATATATACCTATTTAATATTGTAATGCTTCGATATCAAATCCATCTCATTCTATATATAATATACATAAATTTTTACCAATATTATTTCAAATCTATATTTAAACGCCACATTTTAGCTACAGCTACTTATATTAAGATGTTTAGTAGTATATGGAAAGAAAAAGTTGATATGTGAATGGGGCGAACCACGTCCACTCGTACAGTTGCCAACCAGGGCTGGTATTGGAATAATTGAGTACTTACTTTTCCCAGATGTATCGGCGCAGATAACGTAGAAAGTCGGACAAGGCAGTGTTTAGGCAAACTACCCTTCGACAGGAATAAGATGAGAAATGATCTCGCACAAACTCACTCTTCTTGAGATTAGACCCAAGGTAATCAGCGTTGTTATGGTGGGTAGGAAGCGTACGGACGGTCATTTCTCATTATAACCCCGTGAACTTAACTAAAACTGATGCAATTGAATTAACACATCAAAAATTTCACAATGAACTGAGTTAAAACAGCAAAATTCCACAAAACACATATATTTTATGCTTCATCCAAATACTCTTTCATCTCACTAACTACGTGATTGTTATTGGAATCCGCGGTAGTTACAAATCCAGTTGTTGTGAATTGAGGAGTGCTCAATGCATCCGTATGAAAAAAAGATACCTAAAATAGTGGTAACACCATATGTATGCAGTAAAATAAAGAGTTTAAAAACCGACTAACGGAAATGCAGGATAGATGAAAATTGCTGGCATATGTCGAATAAACTGTCCCATATCATAATCAGGATTTATATTGCAATCCTTTGTTTGTCCTGTGAATAAAATTTAGCTTCCAGCAACAAATTAGCTAAATTCATAAAGTGAAGTGACCATGACTAGAGAGATGTTTATTTCTACAAAACAATGGTAAAAAAAGGCAATATCACAGACTTTAGAAATACAATGTAGTGAATAATTTAAACATTCAATTGTGTTGGTCAGTATGAAAGACCTTCGAGATTCCTGACCATTTTGTTTACATTACACTGTGATCAAAGTTTCATAATGGATTTATTTGTTTGATATAATATGTCGCAGGATCCATAAATGTTGGGTAATTTTAAACAAGTAGGGATCATTCCAGTTTTCTTCAGGCCACTGCATTATTCTTTAGATATTCAAGTTATCGTAATATGTTGCCCTACTGCTTCAGCGCAACGAAGTAGCGGTCAATTTTTTGCCTAAACAAACCACGTTTTTCGAGATTTGTTACCGTCACTTTTGTCACATTTCAGTTTGCACATACCTACCTGGGGTTCACATAGAGAGCACTAGTTTGTAATACTTCATAAAGTTTTGTGTTCTGCGTGCAATACTAATATTTTCTTCTGTTAATTTGTTATTTTCCCTTGCTGTTTAATCAGTCAGAAATTCGAAATCCATTCCATATAAATCTCTATACGAAATACTGAATCCCACATGATTAAATATACTCCATTCAATTTCTATGTCTTAAAATATTTTATTATTTAATAGCAAAGGTCACGTTTTTTTGACGAACTTGCAGTAAACTAATTTATAAGAATGAATATCGTTTTACAAGAAGTATTTTAACTAATTTTTGTTGTCAAGAATCGCCAGTAAAATCAGCCACTCCCGAATTTCCACTTATGCAACTGGAAAACAACGGAACGAAAATCATAAATATGAAAAATTTATTTTCGGTCGAAAACTACACTTGCTATGTTTATTCTCATGTCAATCTATGGGCGGAATCAAATCCAGAACATCATCTCAAAATCCAGTTTACGACAACATCAGGCCCTGTTACAAACGTAACGTAAGTGCACAATAAGAAAACAAATCATTTCATATTCCTCATAACAATACATTGGCACGAAGACAGTAACCTTACGCTGTTACGGAAAAGGCGATCTACGAAAAATTCGTGACTTAGCGTAGTTTTTTGAAAGCTTCAAGATTCGGTGTAAAATAATAGAAAGCCCCAAGAAAGTGAATGAACAGAAAAAATATTGCTTTCATGGAAGACACTCCTATACATCATTATATATAAATACACGCGTGCGCCAACAATAGATACTATTTAAAAAAGCAATATACTATATCTACGACATATACTATATCTAAGCTTAGAAATAATATAATCCACAGTTGATCATCTTTGCCTATACGTTTCACATAGTTGTTACCCAGTCATCTCTTTGAAATGCCTCTTATTTTACGAATTCTCTACATATTTTGCTGCGACGTTTTTTTTTCCTTCTCGGCATCTTGATTTACATGATGCATTTAAAATTAATATATATATTAAAATATTCTTAGAATTTCTTCATCATCTGTTGCCTTGGATTGGGATGTTGACATACTTTGTTACAAATATCAAGTGGAAATGAAAGCTTTTTCTGCTCTAGATAACGTTCCTATTTTATAATCGAACTGTTATTTTACAACTTCAATATTTCTCCAAATAGCGAATGTTATACGATGCACAGATTCAATACGCTGTTTCGATAAAACACTTACTCAAACGATTGATAAGTTAAAAACAGGTAAATTAGTTGATTGATATTAAATTTTATTTACCGTACATATGATCACTAATATCTGTGAACTCTGTTTTTCATTTTACAACTTAACAACGATGATTTGAATTTGAGTGTTTTTTATTCTCTTTTATTGTGTAGGTTGTATCTATGAAGCAATAATCCAGCACATCAATCAAAATGGCGACATTGAATACACGCTTACTACAAATTTCAGCAATCCCGCGGATCTAACAACGGTCAATAATTTTCGTTTAGTTGCTGCTACTGAGAACGCGTTACAGTTCTCCTGGGAAATTCCAAGTAGATTAGAAGAAGTTGATTTGTTTCAGGTAATACTCATTTTTACTTCAATATCTCAACAACAATCAGACCAGATTATTAAGTTCATAAAAATTATTACGTTAATTAAAATTATTTTAATCACCTTAGATATAAAAATCCTGAAAAGACTAACATTAGCTTAATTAAAAAAAAATGTGTTCAACCAAAACAAAACAACAGCAGAAAATCACCAGAAAAGCCCCATAATTTAGCCATATTTATATTTATAAGTTTTAAATGAAGTTTACTAAATATATTTTGAGAAAAAAGCCTAAATTGTTATTTTATTTTGCAATTTAATCTTTAATTATATTTCAAGATAACGATATTCCTTGCTAAAACACCATGGATACAAGAAAAGTGGACAGTTTTTTCAGAGCCTCGGGCAACTATTAACGATCTAAAAGAAGCGACCAGATATGTTATCAATGTCACGTCAGCGAGGAAAAGGCAGATTGCCAACGAATCAGCATCATTAATAGTATGGACCAAACGTGTCTTCGTTATTTACCTGGTCAGACTGGACGTCATATTCACAGGTTGAGCAAATTTTGTCACTTTGGTGCCGATTCCATTATTCCTTTCCATCGCTGTAATACCTATTTTCCTAAATGTTTTTCTTCAGTGTCCAAAGAC